CAGTACATAAGAAGATAAATATCGAAGCCAATGGTTCTCGAACATCTGTAACATACAAGGGATTAGTAACAAGAGAGGGGACACAACAATATGCACAGTAAATAAATTGATGGTGTCGAATGCCTGCAACAAACAATGAGTTAGTAACAAGAGAAAGGACGAGTATGAGACGCACGCCCACCCTCCGCGACGGCTCACGAGAAAGTGAGGAAGCTAACGCCGTTATGTATTGGGCGTACGCAGGTTTGTTCGTGTTGAATTGTTTTTGCCGGCTTGAACGACCTTCCTCCTTGAACGACCCAAACACCGGATGGTACGAGCTGTTACGGCGTACACGGCTAGGTCAATAAACTGTGTGACGTAACGTTACTAGCGCGTTAGACCGACCGAGAGCACCGATACCGTGGCACGCTCTACCGTACGCTCTCGCTCGCACACCTCCCCCCATAGACCCCTGAAATTCTTTGGCACGCGTCAACACCGAAGGAGAGCACCGATACCGCGGCTCGCTATCGCTCTCGCTCGCACGCCGTAACGTCACCCGATTCCCGGAATCCCGCGGTTACGAGATGGCTCATTACGGTACGGCATTCCCGCAAGGGAAATTGTAAGCCGCCGGCCAAAAGGTAGATTTAATAATTTATTTATGAAACTACATCTATTCTGAATTTATGTGTTACAAATATACAATGTAAGGCAAGATATAAAAACGAATAAAACAAGAACATGTAAAAAGTAACATTAATAAAATGTCCATTAACGATGCATTTAGAATAAATCGTCTTGTAGTTAAGTGAAAAAATATATACTTTTCCGTTTCATGTTTCATGACTGTCATATTTATCCCTGAACCTTAAACTGAAGCATCGGATATTTTTATTCCTGTCAAATCCTGTAGACACACGCAATATGAATAAAATATATAACACTTCATTTGTGCTAATAATACTCAGAATTCATGCTTTATCGGTAACGTCGGGTATTGACACTAAAATGGTGACAGGGCTACGTAGCCCTATGAACGTGGGACAGAAAAAAAGCATTGGATGATAGGTCTATTCTATACCTAGTCGGTGCTATTACTTACAGAACCATAGAATATCATGACATAGATAGGAATGTCGTATTTCGAAGCGTCTCTGAGAAAGCCGGAATGAGATGAAGAAATTTTGTGCAATAGTATTCTTATGCGAATACCGAACATGACTGTCATTGATCAATGATTTTATAAAGAAGTGGTACGAAACTAGTTTATGACGTTTATGTTGGCATTTCTGTTATATATTGCGTACTGTTGCGTACGCGATCATTACACCCGGTGCACGTATCCGAACTTTGTGAATTTTGACGCGGTATTCTTAAATTAAGAATGAAGCCGAAATCAGAATTGACAACGGAAGCAGCATGGAACAAAGTGCAAGAATATTTCAACAAGAATCAATCGAAAATTAAAATACACGATCTGTTTCAACAAGATCCTAAGCGCTTTGCAAAATTTAGGTAAGTTTTCATCAGTCCTGAAGGATGACCTTGACATGACCTTCCGAAGGTTCATCATTAATAACTAAAATCATATTATTGTAATAATTTCCCGCCTCTATCCCTTATATGTAGAATGAAACTAGTAATCATATTTCGATCTTGTATAATTTGTTTCCTTTTATTGCTTATTGACCATATAATATATATTTCTTTTTTAAATTTTCATTCGTGTGAATTTCCAAAATTTTAAATGAACATATATGAAACAATGAATGCTATTAAGAACACTGTAAAATGAAATTTTAGGATAGATGTTAAGTAACCTCTTGTCAGGTCTTTACTTTTGTAATTCATTAAGTAAAAGACTATTGCATTAATATTTGAATTATAAATTAGTCTAGAAATTTCTACTCCCAATGATGGCCCAATTTTACTTGATTACTCCAAAAACCGTCTCACTGAAGAAGCATTTAAGCTACTGTTGGAACTAGTATGTATTATTATGTTATGTAAATATATGTATATACATATACACACTAAATGCCAAATAAGAGCATAACTGTTTTGCGCGTCTGGAACGAGCACCACAGGTCTCTCTGTAACATAGGCGATAGAATTTGTCATACACCGGGTGACATAATGAAGTATTTCTCAAGACATAAATACTTATGAATTGGCACGTTTATACTTCACAGTCATTTGATGTATGATGCTACACGAGGCATAATGATGCTCAATTGTTTAAGATGTTGATAACTAAGGTAACCGAGAGGAATTTGTGCAAACAAGACCGAAATTTGTCATTTTGCAGTTATGGTCTTATTTGGTTTTTAGTGTACATATATATATATATAATATTATAAAAAAGATTTTACGCACAAATGTATTTTTATACCACATACTTTAAAAAATAATAGTTGCACAAATCTTTAGGCATGTAATCGAGAGATAGAGAAAGCACGGGATGCTATGTTTAACGGAGAAAAGATCAATTTTACTGAGAACAGAGCAGTTCTCCACATTGCTTTACGTAACAGATCCAATAAGCCAATACTAGTTGATAATAAAGATGTAATGCCAGATGTAAATGCTGTATTACAACATATGAAGGAATTTACTGAAGAGGTAACTTTGTATTGATTGAACTTTGCTATTCTTTTCTCATCATGTTGGAATATGTGACATAATTAGTAATCTTTCATTCAATAAGTGTTCTTTTTGCCATATAGGTTCTCTCTAAAAAATGGAAGGGCTTCACTGGTAAACCAATCGAAGATGTTGTTAATATTGGAATAGGTGGTTCAGATTTGGTAAGTATATACATGTCATGATTCGTATTGAAATGAAATAGCTTTGACAAGTTTTTATTAATGTGTACATGCATATATATGTATACATACAGGGTCCATTGATGGTGACAGAAGCTCTGAAAGCATATCATATTGGGCCAAAAGTACATTTTGTTAGTAATATAGATGGAACTCATATTGCCGAAACTCTTAAAAAATTAAATCCTGAAACCACTTTGTTTATAATAGCATCAAAAACATTTACCACACAAGAAACAATTACAAATGCTACTTCTGCTAAAATATGGCTTTTAGATGCTCTGAAAAATGTGAGTAAAAAATATGATTATTAATCTTATATTTACTATGATACAAAGTACAACTATTAATTACTCTATACTGTTTAGGATTCAGCAGTTGCATGCCACTTTGTAGCATTATCTACCAATAATCAGAAAGTTAAAGAATTTGGTATTGATGAGAAAAATATGTTTGGGTTCTGGGATTGGGTGGGAGGCCGTTATTCTTTATGGTCGGCTATTGGTTTATCAATTTGCTTGTCCATTGGTTTTGAAAATTTTGAAAAATTATTAAGTGGAGCACACTTTATGGATCAACATTTCTGTAGTGCTCCATTGGAAAAAAATGTAAGTACTGTTTAATTTTTACTAAGTATTACTATTTATTTTCTGATGTTTTAAAATTAAAGTACACAAATTCATTACATATTTAAAATGTTATTTTAATTCTATAGGCACCAGTTATATTAGCTTTACTTGGTATTTGGTACCACAACTTTTATAAAGTTGAAACACATGCACTATTACCATATGACCAGTACTTACACAGGTTTGCTGCTTATTTCCAACAAGGAGACATGGAGAGTAATGGAAAGTATGTTACTCGAACAGGAAAAGTTGTAAATTATAATACTGGTAAATAATATGTTATGTTTAAAGAAATTGTAAAGGAAATATCTAAATATTTTATAGTTGTGTTTTAATATTTGAAAATATATCACGAAAATTGAATATTTAAGGGCCAATTGTATGGGGAGAACCTGGCACCAATGGACAGCATGCTTTTTATCAATTATTACATCAGGGTACTCGAGTTGTACCTGCTGATTTTATAATTCCAGTACAATCGCACAATATGGTAGAACTATAACTAATAAAAGCAGTGTATTTTCTTCATTTCATTATAGTCGAAAATAATAAACTAAATGAATATATTTTAGGTGCAAGGAACACTGCACCATAAAATATTACTTGCCAACTTCCTTGCACAAACTGAAGCGTTAATGAAAGGTAAAAATGAGAGTGAAGCACGGGCTGAATTGGAAAAAACAGGAATGAGTGCTGAACAAGTAAATTTGTTATTGCCACACAAGATGTTTGAAGGAAATAGACCGACCAACAGTATTCTCGTGAAGAAAGTGACACCTTTTACTCTTGGAGCTTTAATTGGTAAATACAATGTATAGACAACCCTGACCCTTGTATAATGCATTATCTAGTTAGATTCGAATGAAACCTCGTGTTGTGTGAATCTCTACTATATGGAACTATTATTAAAAATTAGTATAAACAAGAGGGAACAGGGTTACATTTTGAAATCTGACAGAGATACACAATACAAAAGTGTCATTTTATATGAGGGTTATTCATAGATTGATGTATTGAAGCATAATTTAAATACGTCGTTTAATATAAATATCCTGTTTTTAAAGCAATGTATGAGCACAAGATCTTTGTACAAGGCATTATATGGGATATTAATTCGTTTGATCAATGGGGGTAAGTAACATTTTCATTTTTAACAATTTTATGTTAGCATTGATTATACACACCAACAGTATTAACTTTCATTAAAATATTTGTGCAATTACAGAATTAAAACTTTTATATCCATAATAAACAGTATCTAATAGGCATTAGTATCAAACTGTATATTTTTATTGTACTAACACATATGTATGAAAATGTTAATTGATAATTAATAGTGTATATATCAAGTTAGAGTAACAGTTTTACATACAAAGTATGTGATGTTCGAATTCATTTTCTTATTTTAATACACAATTGATTCTCTAGCTTAACTATTAATGTAACTATATGTCTGTTTTCTTATTCAGCAGAGAATGAATTAAATACTTAAATACTGTATTTGAAAATTATAATCTATTCAGGGTTACAAACACACTAAATACACCAATCACAAGATACCTTGATTTATTAACGATCGCGTAGAAAGAAGTACTTTAAATACTATCGGTCTGGAGAAGTAAAGCTCCATCTAGTTTTGTCAAGAATGAAATTGAGCAGTATGTTTGATAGTAACAGTATATACTAATCTCATAAAAATCTGATAATTCTGTCCGGGTCGGGTCGAGAATTTCGAAGGTCAGAATTTCCGAACAGATAACAAATAATCTTTCCTTCAGACGCACTTACAAGTTCAAATCTCGCCACAATTTGCACTTCAAAACGATCCTAAACAACGTATCCGTGTATTAACAACTATTCATTATAAAACCGTCCTTATCTTTCATTGTATCAGGATACACTTGCTTAACTTTTACTTACGAATTTTTTTAATGAATAAAGTGAAACTTTTGTGTTTATGATTTTTTTTAACAGTGTTGAACTCGGAAAACAGTTGGCAAAGGTAATAGAACCTGAGTTGGAAACTAAGGAAGCAATTACAAGCCACGATTCATCAACAAATGGATTGATCGGATTTATCAAGAGTAACCAATAAATTCTAACTACTTTGAACATATTGAATGAACATCACAAAGATTTTATGTTTATTTTTGCAACTTATGTATAATGTTCGGTGTGTAATTTTCATTCACTTTTTTAAATAACTATGACGTATGTATGAAAATTGTAAAATGGTAAATTGTATAATGTACAATGCATGTAATAATTGTTCAGTGAAATGGTAGTATGTAGAGTTTGTTTCTTACTAGTTCATTGTTTTCATGAATACTTAAAATATACTTCTATCATTCTATTATCACATTTATTTTTATTTTTTACACATAGGTTATATAGAACCTAAACAAAAATATTGGAAAGTGATATATGATGTCCAGTGAAATGTTCTCTAACAATTCTGACAAAATGTCTTTTAAAATTTTCTCATATTTACGACTATTTAGCGTGCCATTAATAAAATATGGACCAATTATTTTATTATGAAGCAGGCCGCATCAGACGTTTACAGACCAAGATCTCTGCTTGTCTACTTCTCTCAGCCATTGTAAATTTTATTTAAGAACACTTCATCGTCTTGCACTTTGTGTAGGTGCTATTTGGAAAACTGTAAAAATATTTAAAAAGCATTTTCACTTAATTGTTGATGAAATGAAATATGAAACGGGTGACATTGGTTAACGCAAAATACTTCGTCGATTGATGTCACTCTCGCGTTCAAGTTGCCTCGTACTAACATGTGGATCTCGTATTACAGCTGCTACAATGTGTATCGTTTTTCCATCATCAGTTGCTCTTTTGGCTCGATTCCGTGTTTTGTTATTCACATTTCCGGTTTTTTGAAACTTTTCTATAATGTTTGCGAAGACAGAAAGTGAAGGTCTATTACGATCGGGAAACTGTTGCACCATATACACGTACCCTATGTAGTATGCAACAGTTAGTATTGTCACCCTTTTTGCAACTGGCCCAACAATTATACCCAACGTAGGGCCCACGTCACTATACTACGAAGGCCAACTGGAGGTTTCTTTCTGTAGGGCCAATTGTTGAGTATCTACAATAAAGCAACAATAGGAAGACAGTTGGTTATAGTACATTTCCATAAAATCCTTTACAAATATTTGAAGGAGTATAACACTGGAAATAATATTTATAATAATTATATATGTATGTATATTAAACAGGTAAACAAGTGTTTTACCAGCAAAGTTACGCAAAGTTACGCAAAGTTACCTTTACAATTTATACATGTAAAAGCGTTGGATGGAGGTCCCGATTCCACACGCACAGCACTTACCCCAGAATCCCTGAGGAATGCAGTTCCTATTAAAAATCAAAGCATCGGTAGAGAGTTTCTGACAAATTACCGAAAGTAATATTGTTTATAAATAGAGTATCATAGAACAAAAATGATAAATAAAGCAGAATCAAATATAGTACGAGAAACATGTTTATATTAATATGTATATGTATGTATGTATATAGTATCTGTAATTATATGTAACAATTATCGTCTATTTTGTAAAGTTTTAATGATAACGTAACAATTTTAATAATTATTTTTATTTCACTTATTTTATTAAATACGCGTCTTCAAGATTTTATGTACATACTTATTTACTGTACCTGATATAATAAGGATTTATTTTACATGAAGTTTGGAAATAAACTTATTTTTTATTCGGATACTATAGCAACAATTATGACGTATTTCAGTTCATGTAATATTTAGATTCTTTTGATCTTATAGCCACTAAATTTAATGTATTTTTTGTGTTGAAGAAATTTCCAAGTACACATCTTAAAGTTTGAATTAATTAAATTATTTGTGATCACAAATTATTGATACAGTCAAAACGAAAATGGGATGCAACTTTGAATTTTCGAGGGGTTGTGGCACGGGTGTAGCAGAAGCAATCGGAAAATGGGGATTTTCGAATAATAAACTCTCAAATTCTGGACAAGAACTTGAACGCATAAGATATCTTTCAGAGAAAATGGCATGTTTGTAAGAATAGATAATAATTATTTAAAGAGAATTCATAGTTTGTTTTAAAAAAAATTTGTTATTAATACCATTGAATTAAAAGTAATTTAATATGTATTTTGAAAATCTATTCGTGTCTTCTTTAGGAAAACTACGAAACCGATGATGTGTGTAAAGTACGACTGTAGGTATGATCCAGAAGCCTGGTCCGTGAAACCAAGTCCTGAAGAATGCAAACCATCCTGGACAGTTCCTATGAAGAGACCACTCATTACATACAGTTCTACTGCTGAAATCCGCTTTACTTCGAATTTAAATAGTATTGGAACAGATTTACTGTATGTTATACCAGGCCGAAGTTATGTAGTGCAGGGTGTACGTAAACATAGTTTATTCAGTTTTATAATTCTATTGCTTCAGCAATCTTCTCAAACAAAACTTTTTCACTGTAATTACAGTGACTCACAATGTTATTTCAAAATTAAGAAAAATTAGCACAGAAGGATGACACAAAAGTAAAAATAATGAGTTTACATAAATAGTGATTGTATACAAATTACTAAACTTAATTGTTGTTTCGAAAGTATGTGAACAAATGCGAGTCACTGTATATTTTCTGATTTTTTAAAATATTTAAACGCCATTTCTATCTTTCCTGTGTATACATTTTTTGTGACATTTTACTTGTTCGATTCAATTTGTTACTTATTGCTTTTAGAGATTTAATTTGGTACTTAAAATGTTGATAAATAAATAGAATGAACAATAAAATGTAGCTACTGGGTTGATAATTAAATTTATCTACATTTCTAATAATTATAACAAATTAGATAATTTTAAATTGTAATTTTAATTGTTACGTTAATTAATATATTATGCGACATGTAATTTGATTTCTTAAATGTCTTGTTTTTGACAGACGGATAAATGGTATCGACGAGGACCAGACTGCTGTCCACAACCAAGCTGTTTGGCGCCACAATGTCCAAGACCCTGTTGTTACTGAAATTCTGCCCATTTACTATAAAGTCCGTTGCAATTGTAAAATAAAAAAATTGTATTATACTATCATCTATGAAATATAATAAAAGTAAACATGTTTAATATCGATATTCTGTTCAAAGTGAATACTATATTTCAATCAACTGTTGTTTACTAAAATAGTTTCGCTAAATGTAATTAAAGTTATTAGAACGCAATAGAAAATAACTTTATTTTAAAATATAATGATAATATTTGTTTAATAACCCTTAGACTTATTTTCCATTACAATCTATACCAATTTTTATGACCCGACGAATCGATAATGTTTTATTAAACTTCAAGTTGCTCATTGCATTAACTTCATTTATGAATGAATCTTGTAATTTTTAATATAATTCCACGGACAATATTAAAAATGATTTTAGGAAAAAAGATTTTCTCGGCTACATTTCGCCGTCAGACTATTTTAAATATGTATACATGATAATTATTGATATTTATCAAAATTAAGATAATTATTTCAATGGTCCGTTTTTCATGAACATTTTTTAATATATATATGTATAGTTGCATCATATTTCGCGAAGTTGCAAACATTAGAGAAAAAGTAAAAATAGCACAATCAGTATAAAACCAAAAATTTTAAATTTCACAATGTTCACTTAAATTTTTGTCTAATCTTACATTTTTATATAATGAAAAATTAACAAGTACAAAATAATTGTAAATTAACAAGTATATTATTGTTCTATATAAAAATATTAATAAAGCAACATGTCTACAACACAAATAGTTGATCCAACAAATATAATATGCGGATTAAAGGCCGCAATGACTGCCTTAGAATGGTTAGTTTAATTAGTTTATATTGTAATTAATAAATAGAATTTAGTTATTTGATCTGGTTATGCGGAAAATATTCTGTTGAGAAAATTTTTTAAATAAGTATATATATTTAATAACGTTACAACTTTATGGAACAAATCTTTTGTGGATAGAAAAATTGTATATATTTGCGTATAGTTTGATATTCTGTGGATTGCTTTATTTTCCTTAAACTAACACAAATTATAGTTACTGTAATTGTATTATTTACTTTATTCTCAGAGACACCTCAAGTGCTAGGTTAAAGCTATTGCAAGATTGATTTTCCATTTCTGCCATAACAAATTCACATTTTACAGTAGTTTACACTGTATATTTTTAGTTAATATGTTACGAATTTTTATTTCATTATAAATTTTTATTCCCCATTACCAGTTGACAGACTTGAGGATAAGTTTATTGATTGAAATGGATAGTTTTCTTTTAGGCAACTTAAAAACACCAACAGCCATCTTAGTTTCTCTTGTAAACATTTTTATATTAACTTATTTTATATTACACATCTGTACTTTGAACGCGCATTTTGAACATATAATTAGTTTACTTTTTTTGACATATTCTCTTTTTACTAATCTGTATTTTACGTTTCTACTGTCTGTAGGTACTTTCATTTCTTCTTATGAAATACGCTTTTCTTTTGCGCTCACACGAACGTATATTTCTTGTTATTCTTGTTGTAGCTACCATTTTCTACTATTACTACAAAAAGGAATTATTTAATATTTTTTGTACTAATTTCATGAATGCTTATGCTTAATCATGTTATATACAATAGCTACCATCAAATGGATTTGTTGAAACAAGCACAACAAGTGAAAGAGCCGAAGAAGTCACCCCCGCCTATGTTCATGATGATTCCAATAGAAGAAAAGGATGCTACAGTATCGAAGAAAAAGTCACTTACTAAGTGTAAAACAAATGTACCTGTGAAAGACGTAAAGATTGCAAAGAAAGGCATTTTGCAAACAAAACCCAGCGGGAAGGACAATTGCAGTGATTTGGTAATCCTATGAGAATCAAGTAAACGAAAAGGATAAAACATTTAAAATAAGACACTAGAATAACTTCATTTGGGATGAGAATGTTTCTTCAAGAGCTCTCTACATACATATAGAAACATTACGTTCTGTGAACTGATTTAAAAAATGTTTTAAAAAACTATTTTTTTCAGTCGGTTAATTTAAAACTTCCTGAAATGAGAGGTGGAATTTTATTCACAAGGTGCTACTGTGTGCACAGAGATGGCCTTCAAGATTCTTGTCCATTGACCTCATGTCAAGGACAAACCGACTGTCTAGTTAAACCGTGGCCGATATGTCCGCCCGCAAAATTCCTCCGATGTCAGTATCCGCAACAGTTTCCACCAGAGAAAAATTAAATAATTATAGACCTCACCGTTTAGCACAAGCACACACTGCCAATGTGTTTGTAGATGTTATTACAGCGATTAAAAATGACAATACCCAGATAATACATATGACGCCTTGAAAACGGCTTAAAGACGCCTTAGACCTATATATTGTACCGTAAAATATATACCGCGTCTTGAAGGCGTCATGTGCTAACTGAGTACTTTACGTAGGAATATTTTTATGCGCAGCAAAGTAAATAAATAAGTCGATTTGTATACTTCTGTATAATTTTCACGAATATAAATATATTCCATGATTTTTTAGAGGAATTTACGAAGAAAAACTGTCCCACTGCTTTATACATACATATAAAGTACTACATAGCTGACGTAAACGCTCTTGCGCGGAAAGCTTATACATTTTACATAGTTCGAAAAGGTGGCCCTCGGCATGGCTAAGCCATGTACCGATTCCCATCAGTAGATAAATTATTTACACGTACATGAAGTAGAGTAGTTTAACTAAAGCAGAATGTTTGTTTGGAATAATTAAGTACGGCTCATTTGCAAGGCATAATATGATTTACCCATTTCGTGATATCAACCAATTTTTAAAAAAACATTTAAATAATTTCATAGAAAGTTCATTTATCAATAATGTATCATCCCTCATTTATCCCTGATCACTGTCAATAATAACCAATCAACTTTCAAAAATACAAAAAATTCTACACTATATAAGTTCTACATTAATATTGTTTTAGCCATAACTTCACTTCCATAATCAACAGGTTTCTATTCCAGTTTTGGATATTACGTACCCACAAGTTCATAGAGATTGGGCCTCTGCTATCGAACATAGCAGTGCAGTAAATATTCGACAAATGTTCAGAGCTCATGTCCACCGAAGATGAGTAGAAGTTAAGAATTTATATGTAAAAAATAACAAAAAATTAATTTTGTTTATATATCACGCAGCGTAGAAAATTTTTCTTTTGGCGGAGTAATAGTCCAAAAGAACTGAACAATTTCTGTATTTAAAATTTTGTTCTATCTCGTACCGTTACAAAGTTATATTTTTTAAAAAACGCAAAAATATTTATGCAAAGAGTTATTAAAATCAGAATTTTTGGGTTCGGATCCTTCCTTTTAAGTCCGACTCGAAGAAAAGGACAGCGAGTGAAATACAAAAAGGTAGTGAGAGTTGAAGCAGCCAAAAAAATTTACTCGGGAATGTAATCTTTTTTTTGGCTTGTGAATGGAAAGTCGTCTCGGTGTGCTGGGGCAACAATGTATGCACTCGATGGACTCAACGGGCGGAGTGGGGAAATATACGACTGTGTTGTGTACGACGATTAGTTGAAGCGTTCAAACGTGATCGAATGTCCAGAGAGCTGCAGACGAATCAAATGTAGCTGGATCACCTCCAGTCACACGTATTGTTATTATTGGCTGAAACGGTATACACACAATCGAACTGTGTGGTCGGCTATAATGTAACCATTCGTCGGCGAGAGCATCGCAGGCGGGCCACGCAGCGGACTCGAATGGAAACAGAAGTAATTCTCTTTCTGTTTTCTACTCGCTTGTTCTTTTCTACATTCGAAATACTACAAAGGCCAGCTACCGAAGCTCGAGCTTCGAGCAAAAAACCAATTGATGAGGTGCTGAACAACTTTTCGCCTACAGCGTGAATGTGACGCCACGGAACTGAAGCCTTCACACTCAACGAGGGCTCTCTGTACAGGCGTAGAAGAATCCCCCATCAACAACCCATTAGAAAGACAGAAAAGTTACTCCAGCTATTGTCCTCTCGTTCTAGTGCCGGCTAGAACGGTCGGTACTCTAAATAGTCAGTACTACTGTGCAATCTGATGTAACTTAGTAAATGTAATAATAAACGACTTGGCTGTTCTTCAAAAAGTATGTTCTTTATTATACCAAACATAATACATCAGTTGTACGTTCTTAAATAAATTTCTACAATTTTAAGTGGATAATTACAACGTGAGCGAAATTACAAAAATATAGTTTGTATTTAATAGCAGAAAGAAAACAATTTTACTTCTATTTAATTACCGAGATTCTTATAGAATATGCACGATATTCGGCCACGATAAACAAATTTATACACGCGGTTTAGATAATTAGCAGGGTGGACAGGAAACACAAGGAGGGCTACAAAAGACATAAGGCGGTGGACAAGGAGAACAGTACGGTATGCATGGTAAACATGGCGGACATGGAGGAGGGCATGGGGGTGGACATGGTGGCGGACACGGTAATGGACAGCATGGTGAACAAGGCGATGGACACTGAGGGAAACATGGTGAACATGGCGGAGCGCAACGTAGTAAAGAGGGTGGACAACATGGTGGAGGACATGGTGGAGGACAACACGGTGAACATGGTGGAGGACAAGGTGGAGGACAACACGGTGAACATGGTGGAAGGCAACGTGGAAAACACGGTGGGCCGCATGGTAGACCACATGGTGGACCACATGGTGAACCACATGGTGGACCACATGGTGGACATGGTGGACCACATGGTGGACCACATGGTGGACCACATGGTGGACAACATGGTGGACCGCATGGGGGACCACATGGGGAACATATTGGAGGGCAGGGTGGTGGACACGGTGGAGGACAACATGGTGCACAAGGTGGGGGACAGGGAGGCGGACACGGTACGCAAATTTTATAAGAAACACAGGGTGGTACTGATGTCGTTGGTATACAAGAAGGAAAGCAGGGTGGGCAACATGGATTAGGTGCGGGTGGACAACATGGATCAGGTGCGGGTGGACAACACGGATTGGGCGGACACAGTGACTTTTGCCCACAACAATCATCTTTAGCACCACTGCAAACTAATCTACAGTATGCTGCCAAAGCAGATTCTCGGGCTTTATCGATACAATAAAACTTTCTCAAAGCAACTTCAGCATCCCCTAAGTCCGTTAATTTCAATAATGCGTATTGGCCTGGACCACAAACTGGATACAATTTTGTCATGCACTCCGGTCTACCCATACAATCCCACATCATGCATCTATCCTGTAAGCCGTTCCTTTTAATGCACTCGCATCTATATAGAATACTTGCCCGGAATTCGAAGCTTTTACAACGTTTAACAGGACTCTGAAATTTAAAATAGAAAATGTAACATTGTTCTATTAAGGCATTAAAACGGTAAAAAGTCAACATTATCTTGTCCTGTTCAAGATATATATTCCTAGTTTATTGGTCAGAAGAATAATTTGATTTTTAGAATTTTATTTAGAGAAGCTATGAACTGAAATATCCTCCAATTTTAGTGGAACTTTTATTCATTATATCACTGAGCATTCCAATTTATTCAGTAGTGGGTACAACGTTTTCTTACTATCTTTTTTTTTCCCCATCGATCTTATTATGTTCTATCCCTGAATTTATATTAAATTATCGAGGAAAGTACAAATAGTACTGTAACATTAATATTAGTTACGAATATTGATAGAAAGAATCAGTAATGCGATCACTCGAGAATCAAATTGTACGCACTATTACATGTGTCTGATGAAAAATGTTATTTCACATTTTCACTTTGTTTATGTAGAACAAAATACTTAGTTGCAAAATAAAATGTTTATAAAAAACAACTAAGAAGCAACAAAATGCAAAACTTTTATTTACAAAACAAAATAGATTGATAACAAACTTTATTATGATTTCATTTAGATAAGTAACTGTATTACATTTTTAGTAAATACTTAGTAATACTTTTTGTATTCTCCTTTACTATGTTTTGAAAATAAGTACATAAGGAGGATTAGGAATGTGCGATATACTTACATAAACAGGAATGAAAACTTTAATTTATACTCACGCAACAAGGTAATTCATTACAAGGTGAAACAGGACAAACCACAGGAGGTGGACAAAATGGTTCATCCCATTCACATGGTTTTCTACAGAAAAGAATTTATGAAATTCCCCCACACCGATTAAAGATATCTGTGATCTTACTTCATATCCATAGAACTGATTAAACATTTCAACTGTGATAGTAATTCTCGTCTTTTTTCACAATTCGGATTCTTTCCATCGCACGGCATTTTTGATACGGTTAATTTAAATGGGTCCACACAAAAATTTTGATTTTATTCAATTTTTATGGAAATTAAAAATTTTGCATCTTTTTATGCACTTATCATGTTTAACGTATACTTTTTACTAATTAATTTTTTTACTATAGCTCGAAACTGAAATTATTAACTCCAAAAAATTTTGATACGATCTGAATATATTTGTGATTGATCCATAATGAATAAATGAAAGATGTATTAAAATTTCAACTGTTTTTATCATTACATATTTCGTTAACAGATGTCAAAATTTAAAGTTTGTATACTTAAGTAAAATAATAGAAAAAAAAACAAAACTCTCAGAAATAAGAGTAAAATCATTAGAATGTCTTGTGGAGGAAGTCCGGCGTGCTGTCCCCCAATGATGTGTTGCTCAACACCTGCTACCCCGTGCTGTTTACCATCCTCGCCATCGTGTGTACCTTACTTGTGTTGCCCATCGCCTTGCTTGGCTTGCCCACCACCCTGTAAAATAACAATATGCACACCACCAGTGCCGTGCGGACCTTGTCCGCCGAAATGCGTTCCATATTGCCCACCTGCATGTACAGCAAGATGCCTAGGCAGAGTTGCAACACGTCCTATTAAATGGACAACATTTTTCTAGGGTAGATCTTCATTGAAATAATATGTATCACTTTGTCCGCTCGGCACGACTCACAACTGATCACTTATTCTAATGTAAATACCATTAACTACTTGTGGTTATACACCCTCAAAGTTTAAGTAGTGATTTAAACGTACTTTGTTAAATAAATGATATCAGTAACGAGGTTAAATGATACGCATTTTCATAATAAATTAATTTGTTACAATTTTGTCAAACAGATGCAAAGTTACTATACCTCCTCCACATGCTTCACGACCAAAAATATATGTTCCCAAAGGACCATGCTGCAGACCTGGTTGTTTTCACGTCCCGAGACCACAGTGTTGTCTTTACATGTATTGGCGTTTACCGTGTAAAGCAGATTGTTTCGAAGTATAAAAGCAAATGGCAATTTCGGTTGTAATTTACATTTATATAATATTTCGAAAATATAAAATAATCTTGTCGTAATGACACTAAGGTATAATTGTATTAAATGACAATAGAAAAAATAGAATGATAATACAATATAATTCGAGAAATGTACTTGTTTTTCATGTATACAATAAATTAAATAATCATATACAGGGTGTCATATAACTAATGGTATAACCGGGTAGGGAGTAATTCAGCGTGAAAAAATAAGTCGAAAATATAGAATAAGATTTGTTCATTCGAGACTGCGTTTTCCATAAATCGACTTTGAAAATCTGCTGGATACATACGCGTACAATTGAATAGGACGAAGTTAGCGCGTCTGTTCATTGCATTCCGTTTCTACTTACTACCAAGCGAATACGCATGTTTCAGATCAATTTTCAAAGTCGATATTTGCGAAAAGAATTACCACCTACTAGGTTGTACTGCGAGTTAATGACACCCTATATAATAATATTATGAAACAAATATTTCTAATCTTGTATAACTAGTAAAACTAATAATTCTAAATTTGTCATATAATATTACAGTAAATATGTACAGTCTCCATGCTTATACAGGGTGTCTCAGCTAACTTGATCACCTCGAATAATGACTTAACGGTACACCATATGAAAATTTCAAAGCGTGTAACTTACATGGCATCACGGGTCACATCTTATAAGGTACATGCTTTGGGGGAGGGGGGGGGACACTTCAGAGATTTCGAGGTCACCTTGATTTTTTTTTATAGAATGATCTATTTTTTGTACCATAGATCGATAGAGTAGAAAATTCTGAGTAAAAATATGTTGACCTTCACACATCCTAAACCTAATACATAGTTAACGTGATATTTAAAAAATAATTTTTGTATTCTGTAAGCTATAGGTGCTTGAACTGATGCCCCTTAACTTCAATACAGCGATTTCAATACAATGATTACTTTGTAAATATCTCGTTAACTATTAGGTTTGGGACGTATGAAGGTCAACACATTTTTACTCGGCAATTGATACTCTATCGATCTATGCTACAAAAAATAGGTCATTTCATTAAAAAAAATCAAGTTGACCATGAAATCTCTGAAATGCATCCACTTGCAAAAAAAGCATGTACCTTATAAGATGTGACCCGTGATGCCATTTAAGTACTACGTCTCAAAATTTTCATAAAGTGTACCGTTAAATCATTATTTAAGGTGATCAAGTTAGCTGAGACACTCTTTATAGTTATACAAATTAAAATATTGCTAGTTTGGAATAAATTTGAAAGAATTACTTCCAGTTTTTAATAAGATACCACTTTCATTTAATTTTTCAATCAACTGAGAAAAATCATTTACTATAACTTTCCCATCCGAAGCGATTTCTCGTAATCGTTTTGTAGAAAATGTTTTAGTGTTATCAAAAAACGTCTCCTTTTTTAATAATTGTATAAATTCTTTGACCTTTAAAAAAAAAGTTTCATTATTAATCTGTTATCCCTCAATATTATGAAAAGATCAATTTGCTTACTTTTCTATCGGTTACTTTGTGATTACTTAGCGATGGCCAACTAACCACACTGTTATCAAATGTATATCGTAGAATATCTATTACATCGAAAGCATCTGCTTCAGTTGCTTGAGTACGTAATTCCAATTTTGCTCTGGCCTGTGCAATAATATTAACTTAAATTCTGTTCTTAAATAATAAAATTTAAATTTAACATATATATAAATATTTTAAGAACTAAACCTCAGTTAATCTTATCATAGCTTCTAACTGTCTATTATAAACAGACAGACCACTAAATTTATCACTTCTTCTTCTAAGTTCTAGATAATAGTTCTGTAGTACTTTAGCCGCTTCTTTAGTAAGCTTTGGTTTAACATACTGACGTGCATATGAAATGTACTTTCTAAGAAGTGATTGTGGAATGGCACTGATACTTTCAGTTATAAAAGAAGCAAGTCTATCTCTGCAAAATTAATTATGTTTTAGTATAAATAATTAACTCTTTAAGTATTAATTACGATTTTAATAAGCTTAATATTTTTTAATTACCTTAATGTAGAATTAGTTACATCTATGTCTGTATGTTGAGAGGCATTCGTTTGTGTTCTATTAATTGTATTGAAGCCAGTATGAACCGACATAACATGTTTACATAATAAATCGTCTATACGCTATTATGAATAAAATATATGTCATTATAGTGTCAGGTTCTCATTCACAGAATTATTAAGAAATATCATCACAAGTATGTACCTTATTTGGTTCATCTAGTAATAAAAATATTAAATCAAAACGTGATAAGAGAGGTGAACTCATTTTCAAGTTTTGTAGTACTGTTTTGCTTCTGTTAAATCGACCACTAACTGGATTAGCTGCTGCAAGAATGGAAGTTCTTGTAGGAAGAGAACAAATTACTCCTGATTTAGCAACACTTACACTTTGCTGTTCCATAGATTCTAATAATGCCTATTAAAGGAAATGGATGTTTGTATCATAATTTAATAAAGCATAAAGAATTTTAGTAACTGTGTAAATGTAATTTTAAAGACATTAACTTCAAAATATTTTATATAAAATTTTACCGAATGTTGTTTAGACATTTTATCAAATTCATCTATACAACAACAGCCTCTATCTGCTAAAACTAATGCACCTGGTTCTAAAGCAAAGTTGTTAGTTTTATTTTCTTTTGTAAGCGTAATCGTCAATCCCGAGGATGTGCTTGAATTTCCACATACATATACGCCTTTGAACATGAATATTTTATAATGTTTAAAAGTATAAAGAAAATGAAAAAACCGAACTTTTTGCAAAAGATACCTTTAGCAGCAATTCTTGAACATGCTTGCAACATTTGTGATTTTCCAAGACCAGGATCACCAACAACTAAAATATGTATATTGTCTCGTAATTCTAAATGCTCTGCATTTCCACCAAATAAACTTAATATCAATCCGGCTTTGATCATTTCATGACCATATATACTTGGACACAAAGAATGTACCAATAGTAGAAAAATATTTGGTGTATTATAGACTTCCTATTATGTAAGACATAAAAAATATAAATATTTAATAATAAGGACAAACCTTTTCAAATTATAATAGCATGTTATAATCAATATTAGTTCTACCTTTATTGCTAAATAATCCTTTATTGACATTTCATTATCCACAATATTTTTACTTTGAAATCTCTGTTTGTTATTAAATATAGTAATAGCTTCCATATACAAAGAAAATGAAATTTTATTACGTGTTTTAGTATTATTAGTACCCTATGAAACAAATATTAATAAACATCACATGATATACTTATAAACTAAAAACTTATAAGACAATTATGCTTTAGAAAAGATAAGATGAACTTACAGTCTTCATTATTTTCTATTATATACAAGAATATTTTATTTGTATTAACTTTTTAATAATTTCTTTATCAAGGAATGGAAAAAAATTTTAATTCTAACTGGATTTTCAAATGCTTCTATGTCCTATTAAATATATTACATACCTTTATAATTCCTGTTAAAGTAATGTCATCTCCAGGCATACAAGTATTAACTAAATCATCCATTAATTCAACATCAAGAACTCTAGGCATACTACCTTTATTATTCTAAAGCATAAAAAATAAATACTTTTTATGCTTATGTAATCATATACATCTTAAACAAAATTAACAAATGACATGGAAATATAGGTTTTATAATATAATTAGATACCTGTTCATCGTTTAAAAGTTCTTGTATTTTAATCATTTGAAAAGAAATACTTTTTACTTGTGATGAATCTAACAATGGATGAAATTTAGATGTACCACAAATGTTGCATTTTTTTGGAACTGTATAAATCCCTTGCGGCTGTTTTGCTATTTTTTGTAAATGACACTTGCGACAAGCAAAAACAATCCATTCTGCAAGATGTTTCACACGACCTACTCTTATAACACAGCCTCTAACAGACACTAATCTTCCTGTTAAAAAATTTAAATATTTAAATATAAAAATCTTAAATAATGACAAAATTATACACCTACCATAAGAATTTGCTTTCAAGTCTTGTAGACATACAATTGGTTGATAATTTAATATTTTTAATCTAACAGTAGAAAGTGTACTTATAATATTCATGGAACTTTTTAAATTTTCGTTTGGTACTGTACTTATTACTTTCTGAAAGTATTATAATTCATATTTATTAAGTAATCCGAGTAATGTACATTGAAAAAGTGTCACTTGAAGGATACCTGATGAATAGCAAGTTTGAAACAATTTAATGTGTGTATAGGATTTTCATAGATGTTTTTCTTAAAATCAGTCCATTCATTTAAAAAGTTCTTATCAGTGTATATTTCACATACATCAATTACAAACACTGTTCCATTTTCTAAATTTTCTAGTGAAAGAAAAGACAATAAGCGATGATGCCTGTTTATAAAATCCTCCACTACTTTAATTTTTTTGACAGTGTCAGAATTATCCTCATATTCTGTAGCATAAAATAAGTTTTTTTTTTTAAATTACACTAATCATTTTCAGAGTTTATAAATAATATTTTAGTTATAAATAACTAAAATACATGTTGTAATTCAATTCACACCTTCATCAGGAAAAAATAATTTCCATCCATAATAAGGTGTATTGAAATTCACAAAAGAGTCATGTGTATTTAATACACTATTTATCTCAATTGGATCTAAAGATCGATATATCTTTTCATTATTTTGATTGTCTTTAGTTTTTTGCTCTGCAAAATATGAATGTTATGTATACAAAAATATAAGATATACCTTGCCTTGTGTTTATGTATATTTATTTTATATGACAGTATCATTACTGAATAGAATGTAAAATGATATATTATCACATGTTTATGTACATGGACGAATCACAATAAAAATTGTTTATATTATAAAGACAAGAATTCCTTACTAATACTTTTGTTGACTTCTTTTGTTGATTTCTTTTTATTTAAATACCATTTTTTTTTATAAAATTCATTTGGCCTTTTATCGCTCATAATTCTAAATATTTATTATTATAAGTAATCTTTACAGATATTTTTCATTCAAAATATATTTTTATTTTTACTAAAACATAGGTACTCATCAATTACGAATTTAAGTCTTTTAAAATAATTGATTTGTCGAATAATTAATATCACAGTAACTATATCACGTATTCTTCTTTTCGATACAAAACACTGCAAAACACATGTGTACAATGTACATAATAATATATATGTGAATACATAGGTTACATGGGTTACATATATACAGGGTGTAGCAAAAATGTTGGAGGATCCAGAAATCAAGAAATGGGAGACTCGTATATCTCGTTAACAAAGTTTCAGAGGTCTCAGATAACATTTTTGCTAAGGAAAAAAATATTTCAAATCATCGCACGAGTCTCGCATTTCCGGGTCCTTCAACATTTCTGTTACACCGTGTATTATATACATATTTATAAATATGAGACGGGTGTAACCACGACCACAGATGACTATCTGTGATTGTAACCGGGTAACCCAGGTAACCATGGGTGACCATGGCAACGATTGACAGATTTATTAAATACAAACAAGTAGTATCTTAGTAAATTTTGAAAGAAGTTGAGTATATATTTGGTTCACTTTCATTATACCATATATATATATACATATACTTATCTTTAACTACATGTTATGAATCTTATGAATCTTAAGAAATGTATTTGAGTTTATCAATTCTTCATAGGATTTTATATTTAATATGTAAAATATTTTAAGTTAATAAGTGCATCTAGGGAAAAAGTATTTATATTGTTAGGTAATGATAAAACAATTTTATTAACAAATATGGACAGATATATAATAATGGAAAAAATTGGTGAAGGAGCACAGGGAATAGTTTTGAAGGCACATGATACGGTAACAGATAAAAACGTTGCATTAAAAAAGTTACTTTTAAAAAGTATTGAAAATGGTATATCTATATCTATTATGCGTGAGATGAAGATTTTACAGCAATTAAAACATCATAATGTATGTTTATTAATTAATTTAATTATTGTACATACGTTTTTTCTTCTGAAAATCTATAAATTAAATAAATAAATTGTATTGAAAGAATTATTATAATACAGGTCATAGAATTACTTGATGCCTTTCCTGTTGGATTAGATTTTATAATGGTTTTTGAATACATGCCAATAAGTTTATGGGAAATAATAAAAGATAATGAAACAGTATTAACATCAGTGCAAGTGAAAATATATACAAAGATGATTTTAGAGGGTATTGCTTATGTACATGAAAAGAATATAATACACAGGGTATGGAAATTTAATTATTTTTTGTTTCATTTAAATCATTGTTAATAGGTTTTTATTTATTAACTTATATATATAATTAACTTCAATAAGTTATTATTGTATTTTCATTTAAGAATCATTCTTAAATACCATGCGAGTTTAATAGTTATGAATAATAAAATTTTTATTAGGATCTAAAGCCTGCAAATTTATTAATAAATGAAAAAGGTGTTTTAAAAATAGCAGATTTTGGTTTGGGAAGATTAATGTGGACAGATATGTCTAGACCATACTCTCATCAAATTGCTACCAGATGGTACAGAGCACCTGAACTGTTATATGGAGCAAGATACTATACATCGGCTATCGACATGTGGTCTATTGGTTGCATTTTTGGTGAACTACTCAACAAATCGCCTTTATTTCCAGTAAGGTTCACTGTACGTTTAAGACTTAAACTGAAAGTGACTAAAATATTCTAAGAACACTGTACTTGTAGGGAGAAACAGATATTGAACAACTGGCAATAGTATTAAAATATTTGGGATCACCTACATCAGAAACTTGGCCTGAGTTAAACACATTGCCTGATTTTAATAAAATTACATTTCCATATCATAAAGGAATAGCATGGGAGAATGTTGTTGAGGATGCAGAACCTGAAGCTATCAATCTTATTAGTAATATACTTATTTATAATTCGTCGAAGCGTTTGACAGCCAGTGAGGTGAGTAATGTATTAAATGTAAAAAATATACCTGGTAATTGAAAGTACCTATAATTTAAAAATGTTTCATTTTAGGCATTACGTCATATATATTTCCACACTAAACCTTATGCTTCACTGAAAGATGTAATAAAATCACCATGTAATCATCACAATCAGATAAAACAAAAAGAAATTATTATAAACACACAAGCTACCACACTCTTTGAAAAGTTGTTAGCCATTACTTAGTACGTACATAACTGAAAAAAAGAATAGAAATGTAGAATTATAGAGTTGTAAATGTTTAATGATAGAGATGAAAGAATAAATGATTACGTAACAGTTACATAAACACGTATTATATTGAATATAATGCAATAAACTTGTTAATAAGTATGAAGTTAATTATAGGACATTCATCATAACAAATATACTCATTTTCTTTTAATAACACTCATTTATTAATAATAAATATTTTTATTTAGTAATTCTTATAGAAAGCAAGAAATCTTTTAAATACTTCATTGTTGTATTCATAAAGACATGGTTTTCCATTTTCATACTTCGATTTTTCATACAGTTTTAATGTTGGTGCTGACCACCAAAAATTTTTTATCCCCTGTACACCATCAACATCTAATGTATTCAGTTGATATACAGAGAAATGAAAATTTTGATTATCCGATTGAATACATTGTACAACAACAGGTTCTGGTAATTCTTTTACATCTAATCCGAACCTTTGTCGAGCATAAGTTCCTGCTGCTGTAAATGATTCTATCAATGACCGTGCATGAATTTGGTCTTCAAAGACTGGAAGTTCTGTTATATTTTTTACTTCTTCTGGATTATTATTTATAAATATTGTGTGAATATTCTTCATCACAGAATTCGTAACAATTGCTATAAAGTATAATATAATGTAGTTGTAATTTAAACTATATATAACACGAATATTTGCATTAGACTTACGGTATATATCCTCGTTCTTATAAGAATTTGTTTGCACTATACCAACAGTACAATGTAATGGATGAATATCAGGAATTTCAAGCTCACTATTTGCCCTTGCATCAACTATTGGTGTTAAAGGCATTAATGATGTCATTATTAGATCCATTTTTAATGAAAAGTTTATAACGTCTAATTCTTTATCTGAAATTAGGAAAATTCTAGTTTTACTAATATATTACAGAGATATATACAGATGTATAGAATAATACTATCTAAAATATTATGAAATAACAATAATTTTGCAACAAAAAATTCTGATAATACAGTACATTTCTATTAGTGTAAAATAATATAATGAATATGTTTAAATATATTTATATTATTCGTGTTATTCAATGAAAAAGTATGCTGGTATTTTTAAAATCTTATAAAATGTTCTTATTGCTTTTTTCCTTTTTTTCTTAATCATAAACAACGATAGACATATTTTAAATTGAAATACGAAGTTCTATGCTTTTTTTATACTTTACACATTAAGTGCATTATATGTATAAAATACTGATTTAATTTAGTGTATGTTTTAGGATAAATTCTTTTTAATGACATACCTATGCACATAGATAAAATTCCATCATGCACCATTGATCGATTTTGTGCAATATTAAGTCCACATAATGATTCACACAATTGTAAAAATTTTTTTGTTATGTTATGCCTACAAGAAATTTCTGATTTTAAGATGAAGGTGTACATAGGAGTAAATATAAAATAAGTATTATTAAATATTTTATACCTACATCTTCCTTGTACTTGTTATTCCATATTGTCTAGGAAATACCCAACTTGGTCTATTAGGATCTTTCAATTTTGGTAATTTTACCTGCTGTGCATCATAGATAGTGGATGTGTAAACATTTCTAAAACCATAAATACATTTAAAATTTGAATTAATATACAATCCGATTCAAATACAATAATTCATATACCGTTGTACTATATCATCTATATGTTCTGGGATGTCTGCAATCAAATCTTTTACTCTTGATGGAATTTCATCATCGATTTTTAATGTTTTTGTCAATTGAAGGGCTTGTGATGTACCTCCATGTAAAAGATGATGCTCTTTATATATCAAACAATTTCTTTCCTTCCAATCTGGGTCTACATGCTCTATGGAAGGCACGTCAACTCTAGTGTAGATAAAAGAATATTAAAGTTATTGAATAAATTTTTGGGAAGCAATGAAGAAAGTAGGAGAGAGAAAGACATCAAGTCTAATAAGGAAAGCAACAAAAGTACAAAGAAGTGAGGAGGAAGTAGGATGAGCCATAGGGACTTAGGTAAAATAGAATATAAAAGAGAACTGAAGTAAAATTAAAAAATCAACTATTATAGATGATACAGAGAGTGGAAAAAGGGGTTGAGGCAAAATTATTGGAATGAAATGGTGACAAAAGGAAAAAATAAAGAGCAATAGGCTTAATAAAGGTACAGGAATCTAGACCAGGCCTATCCAACATGTCGTTGGTAAGGACGAAATGGTCTTTACCGTCCGACAGATCATCCCCCCACTACTTCGTGTAATCACAGACGAGAGATATAAGAATAGACCTAACATGCAATGTTATTTTCTGTCCTATGATTCGGGGGCGTCGGAAGCTCCCATACCATTTCAGTATTCGGGCTAATAATGGTAAAACCGGGGCAATAATGTATATATTGTTACGTGTTACCCGATAGGTAGCACGTATTGTATAATGTTAAAGCGGGAGACTTCAGATTAGCGGCGTCATTTTGGTAACGATATCCAAAACAGGAACAACGTAGAGTCATGGTACGATCGTAGAACAGAAAAGACGTGTCAAGATAAGTATTAAGTACTCCTCTTCAAATAAATAATTCTTCCTTTCCATAAATATTGCCTTTATTTATTGGAAGTCATGCCGCGCCCAAGCAACAATATGTATGTTCCGCTATATGCGGTTACGGGTGTTGTGTGCATGCGTTATCACGGTGTCGAACATAGTTTCTGAAATCGGAAACTTTTATGTAGAGGTACGATCGAAGCAGCGTGATTTTCGTGGGACACCAAGTCCCATAAGTTGTTAGGTCTATTCTTATATCTCATCTGTGGTGTAATGTGCGAAGTAACGAGTCGGCGTGCGCACGACAGAGAAGCAAGAAAGTACGCGCGCATTTTCTGACTGTCAGAGCGTGTGCACTAACTGCTTCTTGTTTTGACGTCATGCGCAGCGATCTCAAGCAGATGCGTGGTAGGTAAGGAGAGGAAACAGTCCCCTACGACAGAAGTGAGCAGCTCGATAGGGGAGGGAGACAGAGTGGCTTGCGAGCCGCCTGTTGGCCATCCCTAGTCTAAACTATTAATTTCAAGAAATGACAATTAGTAAATAAAGATTTAAGATAAGTGAATTACAACTAGCTTCACATACACACACACAAGTAGATCCTATGGTTTTCTAAGTAGGTAAGTCTATAGTTTAGACACTGTCTTAATTAGTGCTTAGTATGGATTCATCTACACATCTGTTACATATATTTTATGAATTTATTATTTAATATGTTCGCCATCAGACTATTTTGCAGAATTAGGACAATATTATTGACATGAACATATACCTTCAAAATTCTTTTCAATAATAAGATATTTAATTTTAAATTCATGCGCTTGTTAGTTTCTACCTTCCTTTACTTTCAATGACAATAATAATTATATAGATGTACATTGTTCTACAATATTAATATTGTAATTAGAATAATATGTAAATGAAAATTTTAGCATTAGTCACCGGTGACTGAAATACAATAATTAACATCTATATTAATAAAGCTTTGCAAATATGAGTAATTTATCAAATTTATAAGACTTTGTAAAACCTGAAACATTACATATGAAATAACTATGTAAAAACAACAGAATGCTCAAGATTAATGGCATTACCTTGGAAATGGTTTTGGTGGTTTTATTACTTCTAAAGCATCCTCTACTTTGAAACCCTGAGATACTAAAATTTCTTCTGCATTAGTAACTGGTACAGGTCTTGTTCGGCCTGTTTGCCACATCATTCGTATTGCCCTACCTAGATGGTGTTTATGAAGTACTTGAGTAAACTTCATTGTTACTTATCTGGAAAACAATTATGATTCTATGTACATATTAAAATAGAATTTAATTATTCTATTTTTTAACTTAATGATTAAAATAATAACTGATTCTAAATGTTAGATTTCACAAGATTCTAACGTATATTAAATTTAAAATAAATGATGTCATTCCAAACGAAAAAAGCATACTACTAATTTTCTAACCTTGAATCTTGAAATATTATTATTGCTACTATGTTTCAGCATATAAAGAAGTCTGAAACTTTTATTATACAGGTAAATTATTTGTGATTACCAAACAATGGGTCATACAAAAGAATATAATCAATATGAACCTTTGGAGATCATTAAAAGAAAGAATGAACAAGGCGAAAATGTAGAGTTTTGCACAGTATGTCACCGTGATATTGGAAGTACAGCTGTGAAGAGATTAAACCACATAAAAGAGTCTGCAATAAAAAAAATGAAAATTTTTCAATCAAGTAAATAAAATTTTGTATGATAAGATTAATAACAATACATATGATTTAAGTATAGTAAGTTACATTACAGTGTCTACAGATGACACTGAAAACGTTTATGGAAAAAATACTAATATCAATAAATGTAAAGCTATCAGTAGTAATTAATTATTTGACAACTTTACTCAGAACTTCTCCAGATTCCCTTATTGTACTGAAGTTCTAAAAATCAAAAAAAGGTTTTTGGCCACTTGTAAGATGTAACATTGGCCATAACAGTTTTACTAATAACTTTTAAATTTTTCCAGCCGTCAATTAGTAATACTCCATGTTGTGGTGCATCTTATCTTGTAGAATTAACAAGCTCATATTGTGCATCCAAAATTGTTGTTGATAGTGCTTCCTTGTAGGAGGCTTATATCGATCGTTCAATGAATTAATAAATGCCTTAAAATGTTCTTAATCAATTACACTAAAAGAGATATTACATAAAAAAGAAAAGAAATTTGCTAGTAACTTAATGTTACTTTGTTCAAAATAAAAATAAACTTTTATTAACATAATTTTCAATCTAAACAAATTATCTTTATTATACTATACCCATTTTATTAGTAATTTTTTAATATCTATTTTTCATCTATTTTAACTGAATATAATTTAATTGTTTTTAATCAGAATTATAATTGTTAATAAATTGACACTTCTTTATAACCTATATATACGAAAAATGTTTTATAGGTTAGAAACACGTTATAGATATTTTCATTCCAGTATACAACATTTATGACATATTTACGACAGTTACGACATTTAAGGCATTTAATACACGTAACAAATTCGCGTATTTACCCACCTCTGATTGGCACTAATAGTAATAATAATATAGACGAGTATGCTGTTTTTCTTAACATCAACTGCAAGCACTGATCATCACTCCCCTCCCCCGAGCCCCCGGCCATAGGAGTCCTATGATAGGACCAGTGATTCCAGAATCGTGGAACTTGGTTCCCCCACTATGACCTACCGGCGTCTCCCACTTTATTTCCACCGTTCAGCACTACTTACCTCTAGCTCTGTCCGTGTGCGCTGCCCGTCGGGTCACCCGACTCGGGTGTCCGCCCGCCGCCGCTGTGCGTCACACGTCGCACGTAATGCCTCCACACAGCCGTAGGGGAATCCTCCCAACAGCCCATTAGAAAGAGAGGAAAATTACTCCAGTTATTGTTTTCTCTCTCTAGGGCCGTCTTCATCTCTACCATAAGACGCGCAGTCTTATATATATGTCTATGATTATAGCTCATTGGTCGAAACATGTCGAAAAGTGCGACACTAGCGCCATTGGTGACGAGATCGGTAGCTTATGACTGACCATACGATTCTGTACGGTTCTAATAGGAGTTAACAGGCCCTGGTTGGCATTAATAAATATGGCAAGCAAAAGGGTTATTGCATTTTTGGGTACTTCCAATAAGGCATCTAATTTTGCAGGTATAATAACACGAAATATACACGATGTAACTTCTGATTCTGCTAAAAAAGTGACTCATACCGATCAGGTAAAGCAGTTCTTATATATATGTGTTAGGTTAGTTTTTCTTATAACGCAGTATGATAGAATTTATTTATATTAAAATGTATAATTGTTTTATAACAGCTGTATGATGAAGATGATTACCGTAATGTTAGATTTGTAGACAGACCAAAAGAAGTTAATGACAACTGGGCTATTAAACTGATAGCTGAAGTCCCACCAAAACCTACAAAAGAAAGAATTGTGGCTTGTAATGGTGGTGGTGGACCCTTGGGACATCCGAAAATTTATATTAATTTGGTATGAAATACAAGTAATTATGTAATAGTTTAATGCACCTAACAGAATACTTACATGTATAATTTACGTTTTAGGATAAACCTGGAGACCATTCTTGTGGATATTGTGGACTACGCTTTTACAATGATCATCACTAAGCAAGAAGTCACACATGGTTCAAGTAGTTACATTCATATGAAATTCTTGTAAATATATTAAAAAATATTTATTGTGATCCATGGTAGAAATATAATACAAGTAATTTATTTTCAAGTTGTTTTAATTTAAACTGATGATACTCTATATCAAGTAACATTTTGTATCTGTTAAGATTACATTTAAATAATGCATATGTATATGTTACAAAGCTGTTTTATGACTGTTCATACCTAATGGTATTGCTTGTAATTCAGTTTTCATACAAAGAAATTCACCACAGACACACATTATACTTAACGATACAATATTTAAACACCACCAACTAAAAGTTGAAGGAAAACTTGCATTGTATACCCAACAACACAATAAGTGTATTAGATGTGCTGTACATGCAAAGTCCATACATTGTTTTGTTCTTTGCACTAACCACCACAATGCAAATGCACCAATTAATGCATTTAAAATGAAAATGATTATGGTAAGTTGGCCAGCAAAATCTCGGACATGTATTTCCTTATAATGAAAAGCATAATCTAATGACTTTGTGGATCCAAGGAATAGAGCAATGATCCAAATCCATAATCCAAGACAGACATACATGATAGATTGAACAGCTATTATTTGAGATATTATGAGAAAAGGATCCCATATTGTTTTACGAAATTGTCCAGATATATTATTCATTTTGTTTGATATTAAAAATTCTATAGCTATTTATGGAAGAAATAGTTTTTTATTGCCTTATCCTTTTGCGCTGTGTTATCATTTTGACTGCTCATTGAATCTAAAAGAAAATATATAAAAAAAATTAGTTCTAAACATTTGTAGAATATAAACATTGTCCATGTTATTAACAGATTATGGTTTTTATGTGGCAATGCCTTATTTTTAATTTTATAGAACTCTTAATATATAAACGTTTAACTTCCAAAAAAGATTTAATACATAAAACTCTGAAGGTTATAAACATATTAAAAATGGATATGACTTCATTTTAATTAGGAAATTTAACCTGTATATACTTTTGTAATAGTAATTTGCAATGTTTTGGAATATATTATGTCTAATAATATAAATATGTACTTATAAAGTAACAGTTAAAAAATGTTTTGACATTTACCACACCGACATATCAATAAGTTAATGTCATTCCAGATTGTTCACTATACGTGCACGTAATTATGTCATTTGTAATATTTTCTTATTCGTGTCAAATTTGGTGAAATAATTATAAATGAATTAAAACGTCTAAATCAGCTGATATCTACACTTTGTGCAGCGTTGATGACACTGGATGACACTTCATGACAACAGCCAACTTCGTACTGGTAGATACCTATGTCTGATTACTTCAAAGTACTTCTTAAAATTACGAAAATAGACGTAATTTCGCTTGTTTCATAAGTAGAAGTAAGACGGGTGCACATAAGAATGCCATTCTGGAATTTCATTCGTGATGTATTTGGTGGAAAAAATTCGGAAGAACCCAAAACCAGTGGGTAAGCTTTATTAACAACTTTTAGACATGAGTTAGAGATTGTCAGTTTTATACGAGTGTCATTTTGACAGTGTGAAATTTTCTAGCTGTTTCTTATGTCGTAACCAATTATATTTTTACTTTTAATACGAATCTAGATTACAAAACATTTTAGGTTCTTCGACTGTCGAGATAATTGTGACAAGAATGACTTTAGAAACCCAATTTGGCAAGATTATGTGGATGATGATGATGAAGATGATATTATGTTAGTCACGTTTCATATGTCATCATATTCTATATATGTTTAATATTTTCTTAAACTTCAACAAATCTGATTAATAATTTCGTTTTTTAAATTTGCAAATTATAGGTATTCCAGGAAAGATACTCACTTCCAAGTCCTCACTGATCCATTACAGATCATGAAATACTTTGAGTTAGAAATGGACAATATAGTAAAAAATTTTTTCTTTGGATTCAAGACTGAAGGTACTTTTTATTTTTATATGTATATATATGTGAATTACATCATATGTATAAGTAAATCTAACCACATATTTATGAAATGCTCCTTTGAAATGTTTTTAGGACAAAATTCATTTATGAATGCACTTCCATTTACACCTCCAGAAGGAGAAAGTTTACGTGACAAAGTGTTAAAATCTCATGATGATAATTCTAGTCAAGTGGAGCCAAAAGTAGATGTAGACTTGGATGGAAAGTTAGTCTTTAAGTACAATAAAAGTTTTACTATATTACTGTTTATAATTTTATATAAAGATATGTTTTGTTAATTCAAACAGGATTACACCAGATAATTTTTTCAATGACTGGCATCAGAATACTGAACCAACATCAAAAACACTCATACCTTATCAAAATGTAATTGGAAGCTCTATAAGCAAAGTGTTTGTTCGTAAAGCTGATGGTACAGTAGAACAGGAAAAAATAGTCAAGGACAATGAAGGAAATGAAGAAAGAACTGTATCAAAACAAATTGGTGATAAATTACATATTATTACTACAAGAAAAGATAAAAATGGAGTAGAAACTAAAACAGAAAATATGGTTGATATAGATGAAAGTAAGTAAATTTTACCTTAAAGTAAAAGGATATAGAGTGTATTTATCATTGCACACAATTATGTGGGTTTCAGGTAAATTAGAAGGAAACAAGCGGTTACCATTAATCCTCCCTGATAGTCCCCATAATTTTAATTGGAATTACTTTCCTTGGGAAAAATTTTTTAAACCAGATCCAAAATTGTAGAGGAATCAGATTAAATTAACATGATAGTTTTCCTTAGAAAGAATATAATACAAAATATGTAATAAACATATGTACTGTAAATTATTTTATTTGATACAGTGTATGTACACATATATTATTATTTTTGTGTACACAGGGTTTTCTGGAAATATATAAGAAAGATAATTGAATATTTATGTTTGCATTTTCTATTTTTATTTGACAGCATTAGTCAATATTGATTAGTAGTTAACTTAAAAATATAATGTACAATACAAATGTTTTATGTTGTGTTTATAATCAATGACAGAGTGTATACACATTACATACTTAGATCACTTGTATATCAGTAACTTTACATTTTAATGTAATACTTCATATATTAGATTAAGTATACTTAAAATGTGTATTTCAATATGAGAAACGACGTTAACAATTAAAAGTACCTTATTTGTTTATTTGAAAAATAGTAAATAATAAACAGTAAATACTGTTATATTGCAATAATATTAACGTAACGTATGAAGGAAATATTTATCGAAATGGTTATAGACGTTTCCATCATAAAAGTATTCTTTGAAATATTTATAATGCACATATAAAAATGAACTAAAATTTACACAAAGTAAAGCCATGATATAAGTATGTAAACGAATTACTAGTTATTTAATTTTTTAAATAGTATAAATCTTTTATATTTTTTTTGTAAATATTATAAGCGATTTCGGATATTTGGATTTCTTGATGTTTCGACTTCGACGTTTAGACGACAATTGTCGTGATCGCGCGGAGATAAAGAAATCGGCAACACCGGGCGCTCTATGCATTGTGTCTTACCGACGCGTTCGGAATATTAGGTGTTAATGATATCTTACACAATATTAAGTTATAGTTGTAGTATTCATTCCATGTATTTGATTCGTGTATACACATGTACAATTTTATATTGCATGCATGTTAAATGTATACATACATATATATTAATTCATTGCTTATTTGTTACATTAGTTACAATAATTATTTGTACATGTACGTGCGAGTACACGCACCGAATTGTTTATACACAAATTAACGAGCTCCATGTTTATATCCTAAAAATTGAACATGTTTGATATCGCAGATATTAATTACAAGTTTTATACTATAATTATTTAAAGAAATATCATTGTATATTCAAATCTGCAATAACAAACATGAATAAAATTTTAATATAAACACATTAGAACATAAATAAAATATGTAAGGGCTTCTGTAAATTTTGTGAAAAGGTTACTCATAAATAAATGAATGTTTATCATACGATATTTACAAAAAAATAGTTATATATTATGACTAAATGCCTAGGATAAAACATGAAACTGTTATTTGTAAATTATATAATATACATCACATAGTAATAATTCAATATGTACAATATTTATTATCGAAATTTTCAAGCCTTTCAATGCTTAGGCAATATCATTACCACATCGTAGAAAGCATCAATAAGTTTCTTTCCTTGAGAATATTACAACTTTACCAACATCACAATCTAAAAAAAATGTTACCAATGAAGTAGATAGAGCAAGTCTTTATATAAATTTAAGAAACGTTCTTTGCATAAAGCATGAATTTATAAGACTCACTTATAACTTTTATAAAAAATTTTTAAAGCTATAGTATTAAAAACTAAGAAAGAAGTCAATTTTAGCATAATTAGTTTGGCATTTTTTTCATTTTAGTCTATAAATATTTTACTACGTATATATGTATAAATTTGCAAATCATTGATATTTTCTACGAATCGAACAGTTCTGATCGAAATTACGATGTGTAGCATAAACGAACTATAAATTGAAATAAAACGTGTCCAATTAAAACTATTATAGGAATTTTATATGGAATTAACAATAGTTCCAACGCACCTCGCTTACGGTATTTTAAACTCTAAGTTGATGTTACTTAGAAATTATATATTATTACTGAAAATAAAATGAACCAAAAAATTATAACCTTGTATCAGTATATTAGACTTGTTTTCATGGTTCCGTACATAGTTCGATATTACATTTAACGAAGCATATCTACATTTATTCTTGACCAAAACCTTCTGTCTCTTCAATTGCATAATTCAACTTTTCTACAAACTGTTCATAGCTCTTATATGGTGGCAAATCCAATCTATTGAAGCATGTATGTGATCTCGGTAACCATGTGTCTTTTCCTACTTTTTCTATGCAAAATCTTTGAGGTCCATTACTCCCTGGCAAATAAAGTAAACGTGATATTAAACATAAAATGTCACATCTTTTTCCTTAGTTAATTGCATCCAATATGTACCCATTAATTCTGCAAATCCTCCAACAGGTACACGACAAGTGCCCGTTACGAATTGTAAAAGGCGAGCTCGTTTTTCGCTATCCGTTCTGGTTACAAACTGAATAATAAATGTAAATGTAGTAAGGAGCATATATATTTACGTTAACAAAAAATAGTATTCAGATATAAAAACAAACCAGCCAAAACCATAAGATTTGTTTACTGTTGCGTGTATAATGTCTGTAAATTGTATTACGTTGCCAATCCTCCACGTCTATTTCTTGCATTCCACATAGTATAAGTTCTAATTCCCGTTCATCAAAATATTTTAACCACTCTAACGGCACAACTGAATTAAAACCTTCCAAAAAAGCTTTAGTTTGATCCTCTATACCCCTTGTCATTCTCCACTCTGTCATCAACCTTTATAATAATAAATAATATTGATAAATAATGAATAACCATTAGTTGAACTATAAACATATAGTCAATGGATATTGTTATTCCTGTCTGCGAATAAAACTGGATGTACAAACTATTAAAAACAATATAATTGTGAAACATTTACTTATTAAATTTTGTAATTAATTAACGTAGTAAATGTGTAAATGTTAATAAATACGACATATAAATTCTAAGAAAAGGTACAGGGTTCAGCAAACAAAAATATTTCTATATGTAGAACTTTATTTTCTATGTTGCAAAAGTATCTTGTTAGAAATGAACTATTATGCATAATGGTTCAATTAATGACCTTTCGAAATAAAAGGCATAAGAAACAAAAATAAAATATTAATATGCAATATGAATTTTTCTTTGCTCGGTATTCTTGTACAACTACTTTTACTATAATTTTTAGCCAATGCTACAAGTATTTTAACAGTAAAGTCTTAAATATGAATAAAATTTAAGTAGCGTAATACCTTATATATTCTTCTTTGTTATCTTCAATAACCCTAATTTTGTCTCCACCATCTTTTAATTCATGGTGTATGACTTGACCAAGAATTTCAAAATCAACACTATAATACAATTCGAGGCCACAGTCGTCAATATTATTTTCTTTTATCCACACAAGAGACTTGTAGAATTCTGGGTCAATAGATTCTATATCTTTCATTACTAATTTTTTGTTTAACATACGTTTGTAAAACGGCATAGTGAAGCCACTATAAATAAACCGTCCATGGTAAAGAGCCTGAAAAGATATACATGTTTTATTAAATGCAAAATCGATTATAATACTTTTACGAATGTAAGTCACTAAAAAAAATACCATTGCTATAAACCTTCCGATAAATTTAAAGTATTGTAAATGGTCAGGATTGACATAAGATGCTGGATTAATTTGCAAGCTGTAATTACTTTTATTGGCATATTCAAATAGGCAGTACATTGGGTTCAGCACTTCGTGGCTTAACAAGAAAAACCACTCTCTGTAAAAAGAACTCATTACTTATCATTTTAATTGGAATACAATAATTATAATAGTTTTGCTAAGTCTTACCTTGATACACCTCCATAATCCAGTCCTTCCTCCCCTTTAAATATTATATATAATCTGCGCCTCAATGCAAAAGCTTCTGCATTCATTATTTGATGATAAGAATCTTCAAACAGTGTTTGTCGATTAACATTAATCTTAATATGATTTGGCAATGCATTGGTTTGACACAAGAAACGGAACTGTGATAATTTCCACCGGAATGATCTTTCGTATGCTCTTGGTACACGGTAAATACCTTTTGGGCTAAACAGTGATAATATAACAATAAGCTAAAGTAAACAATTACAGCTGAATTATGAAAATTATACTAACCCTTTTGGTGCACCAGGTCTTGGATCTTGGAATGTAGTTGTTCTTGTATTATGATCTACAAAATAACGCACTCCATCTTCGGTTAATCGTATTTCCCAACCGTCAGGTAATGGTGGTTCATCAATTCCTGTTTCTTGCCCCTGAGTCCTAGGATCCTCCCACTGAGTAGTACGATTTTTATGATTCACATAATACACTCTTCCTTCTGGTTGTTTACGTCTTTCCCATCCAGCAGGTAAAGGCCCAAGAGCATCGTCATCATCAGCTGTAGGCACTGAAGGTCCTGCCACAGCTGCTTGACTTCCATGTGCCTATACACATTATGCATGTGAAAAATTAGAAGAAAAATAACAATAAAAACAGATATGGTAAAACAATTCTTAATAAATAATGTATTAATTGTTACTTACTTGAGGATAAAGAAACCGTTGGCTACCTTGTTGCACCACATGTTGCCTCTCACCTTGCCAATGTTGAAAATGTTGTAATCTCTCTGTATTTGGTCTCTGCCATGTTGTACTTCTTGTATTATGATCCACATAGTAAATTCTACCTCTTGGATCTCTACGTACTTCCCATCCTAATGGCAAAGGCTGTGGTCTTTCCCAAGAAGTACTTCGTGTATTGTGATCGACATAATATCTAATTCAAAAGGTATTAGAAAAAGAAAAAACTATTACATATTTTTTCAGAATGTAAAACTTTTAACTAGTTATACAAATTGATGCGAGTGATATTTATATAGTTTTCTTTAAATAATATAACCTTCTTCCATAGATGTCGTATCTCATTTCCCAACCAGGAGGCAAAGGTTCTTCGGAATGATTTGTAGGTTCAACGTCAGCAAGTATTATCGATGACCCAGACTGAGTAGCTGATTGACCACGTACCATGGCAGATTGTCCTGTTAATGAAGCTACACGTTGCACTATCAGCGGATTTGAGGGAGTAGTTGACATTGTAGTTGTTGACTGTTTAGGACGGGGAACTCTACGTCTTTCTGCCATAGGGACTGCTATGGTGGATTGTTCTGAACGCGTTATTCCACGACTATCTGCCATGTGAAATCCCGAAGACTGCTCTGAATGAGACGCACAAGATCCATCTGGCAATGTAAATACTGTAGACTGTTCCGTTTGAGAAATTCCTTGGTTATCCATTAAAGTAGAAGTTGTAGGCTGATCTACTCTAGAAGCTAGACCTCCTCCATCTACTATGGGAGTAGTTGATTGATCAGCTCTTATACTTCCAAAACTATCAGAAAGCGGAGTAGTTAACAATTGTTCTGTTTTAGAGTTACGCCCACTAGACGTAGATTGCTCTGCTTTGTTGTGTGATCGTATGTCTGCATTAGGTGTTGGTAACTGATCCGATCTGGATACTACAACTGTTCCAGGCACCGATGATTGATCTGCTTGTGAAATATTTCGACCCTCTGAGACAGATATTTTTGAGAATTGATCAGCAGATGTACCAATTCTACCATCCACTGTTCCAGGTGTAGATCCATGTTCTATTCGGGATATTTGACGTCCATCTAACAAAGATACTGCATGACGCCCTGATAAACAAACAGATTTGTCCACAGGCAATATTACATGTCCATTTGATAAAGAATTCGATGCTACAGGTTCAACTTGTTCACTGTTTTTATCAACACCAGGTTGATCATTTTCAGTATTATAATTAGAATTCTGATAAATATTGGTTAATCCACGAAAATTAGATGGTGCAACATTTTCAGTCCCATGTAATCTCATACGAGCACGAACTCCTCCGTTAAGAATACTGCGATTACTAGCAGTTTCATTACTTGTAATGCCTATAACATAAATTAAACAAAATTATATCATGTAATATGTTTGAATGAAAAACATGTATTGATTAATTATACGTTCATAAAATACATAAAAATTAAATTGTATGGAATTTATTTACATTCTCAACATTTTTTTCACTAAGAAATATGTTTCCACGCAATGTCCATCTATAACGCTTCTTCTAATAAATTCTATAGTATCTTACCATCAGAAGGTATACGCTGTGTTTGACATGGTGATTCATTAATACTTAATGATGACACATTTGGCATATTGATTCTTAATCCATCAAATACTGTAATTAATTCTCCAACCTTACATAATTGAGAATCATATTTATTTTCACTCATTAAATCAAAGGTTACTTCCATATTTTCCAGTCTTCCATTGTAATGGGATAACACTTCGGAAAGATTTATTTTCTTCTCTCCTATTAATGTATCTTTACGAAATGTGCTATGATCTAATAAGCGAAAATGCAATTGAGAGTATGGTGTTACAAGTACTGTAAATTTCTCGTTCCATTTTGGTTGATATGTGGATTTTGAAACTTCTGTCTTCAGAGGGCTATTATCATCAACAGAAAATTCTATGTAAGGATTCGGTTTTAAAAATGTAGAACTTCTTAATACAGCACCCTCGACTAAAATACAAAAAATTTTACTAATAGTTATTAAATATAACCAAATATCTCATAACATACTACACACTATCAAAATATAACTGTTAAATATTATGAAATACATGGCAATATAAGTACACAGTTTACTTATAAATTTCAATTTTAATTAAGTTTTTACAAATGTATCTAGAGAACTCAAAAATATAACACACTTAGAATGTTTTCTCTAAATATACATTATGACTTACTTGTAATACTTAATTGGTGAAAACCAGATGATGCCACTTCTTCTTCACAATGGGACATTGTCAAAATTTAATAAAATGATTTATGTGAATTCATAATTCTCTTACGTATATTATTTTTACCTGGAATATTCAACAACAGTTATGAACATAACTATCAATATGTAGCAATATCTACAATGCCATTAATACTTTCATCATAAATGCATAAGCAAAACGAAAGTGAGAAAAGCTGATAAGATTAAGGAATTAATATTTAAAAGCAGTTAATATTCTATATCAGTTAAGACAAAACAAGATCACTTAAGTTACACAGCTAATACTTGAATTCTACTACACCATTGTCTGAACTTCCAAAATTATAAAAATTATCTGAAAGGTTGTTTCTTGTAAAAGTAAACAGAAATGTAAAGTTTCTTTAGAAAATCAGAATTATGTAATTAATACGAAATACAGATACTACTGCACAAAGTAAAATGTAAAAAATGAAATGTTTAATAAAATTACCAATATCAGATTTAAAAAAAAATCGTTACAATCATTATCTTTTCTCAATGATGAGTAGAGTAATATACACAAATGATGAACGAATAAAGTACAATACATACGTATACAACTGAAATGGATTGTATGAAATGTATCCAGCTCCAATACATCGCCTGTTCCTTGCACGATTAATATTATTACTTGAAAAAAAACCTTTAGCACTTACGATTTTCGTTATCACAAAACTTCTTTATCAGTAGGTCACCATCTTTTCATACGTCAAAGGTAGAAATCTCATAATATGCAAATCACTAGGCCAACTAGATACAAAACATACATGCTGCGTGCATATCATGTACGCTCTATGTTTGTGAAACGAAATGTAGATCAAGCTTATTAAGTACCCATTTTCAATTTTCTAATATCATACTTACATAAAATTCAATTGAATCAGTTATAAAATCTTTGTAAATAGAATAGATAATTATCTAGAAATAAAAATTGAGCATTTCTTATATACCAATAAACATTTATTATAATTTGATCCAAAAAAATTATTATCCCATATAACACTGAGGTGCCTAAAAGGTGTCTTTTAGGTGCCCTATCAAAAATACAAGATATCCTTAATCCTGTCTGAAAAGATATCTTTTTGGCAGTCAAATGGATATCGAAGGGCAGCCTTTTGGCATCTTTTGGGTATCCTGTAGATATCCAATAGGTATCTGCGTCAGATACCGAAAAGATAACTCTATGGTATCTGTCTGAATAATTCCAAAATAACTATTTAGTAGCACAGCCGACTCTATGTAGCCCTAGTCGTTAGGGATGGATCGATACAAGTAAATACGAGTACATTACTCGATACTTATGTTTCGATACCGAGTACCTTTGGTATCGATACTAGAGATGGCGTGCAAAATCACTAACGGTGATTTATCACAGTGATCGCCGAATCACGATCATGGTCGTGATTTAACTTCATTCACGATCGTGATTGCGATTTTTTTATCTTGAGTGAATTTGCTCACTGCGATCGTAACTCCTTGATCTTTAAACAGAAAAACATATTCAATATGATTTTATGATGAATTCCATTACTATTCGTGTTTGTAAAAATCAGTAGAAAAAACAAGAAATTCTAAAAGAATGATATGCTAGGTAACATGTAGATTATAATTTATAATCATTAATTTATTCATTATTCTTTATTGTTTCTAATTATTCCTTCACTGTATACGATATAACCACCGACTAGGTATAGAATACACCTATCATCCAATGCTTTTTTCTGTTCCACGTTCATATGTTACCATTTTAGTGTCAATACCCGACATTACCGATAAAGCATGAATTCTGAGTATTATTAGCACAAATGAAGTGTTATATATTTTATTCATATTGCGTGTGTCTACATGATTTGACGGGAATAAAAATATCCGATGCTTCAGTTTAAGGTTCAGGGATAAATATGACAGTCATGAAACATGAAACGGAAAAGTATATATTTTTTCACTTAACTACAAGACGATTTATTCTAAATGCATCGTTAATGTACATTTTATTAATGTTACTTTTTACATGTTCTCGTTTTATTCGTTTTTATATCTTGCCTTACATTGTATATTTGTAACACATAAATTCAGAATAGATGTAGTTTCATAAATAGTTTATCAAATCTACCTTACCGTAATGAGCCATCTCGTAACCGCAGGATTCCGGGAATCTGGTGACGTTACGGCGTGCGAGCGAGAGCGATAGAGCGAGCCGCGGTATCGGTGCTCTCCGTCGGTGTTGACGCGTGCCGAGAAATTTCAGGGGTCTATGGGGGGTGGTGTGCGAGCGAGAGAGTACGGTAGAACGTGCCGCGGTATCGGTGCTCTCGGTCGGTCCAACGCGCTAGTGACGTGCGTCACACAGTTTATTGACCTAGCCGTGTACGCCGTACCAGGCCGTACCATCCGGTGTTTGGGTCGTTCAAGGAGGAAGGTCGTTCAAGTTGGCAAAAACAATTCAATACGAACAAACCTGCGTACGCCCAATTCATAACGGCGTTAGCTTCCTCACTTTCTCGTAGGCCGTCGCGGAGGGTGGGCGTGCGTCTCATACTCGTTCTTTCTCTTGTTACTAACCCATTGTTTGTTGCAGGCATTCGACAACCATCAATTTATTTACTGTGCATATTGTTATGTCCCCTCCCTTGTTACTAATCCCTTGTATGTTACAGATGTTCGAGAACCATTGGCTTCGATATTTATCTTCTTATGTACTGTGATTCATTTACTGTGATTTATTTACTGTGATTTCTATACTGTGATTTATTTACTGTCCATATTATTAATTTATTTATTGTGCATATTGTTGTGTCCCCTCTCTTGTTACTAATCCTTTGTATGTTACAGATGTTCGAGAACCATTGACTTTGATATTTATTTTCTTATGTACTGTGATTCATTTACTGTGATTTATTTACTGTGCATATTATGTATTTTATGTGTATTGTATAATGAAAAATATTTTTCCAATCAGTTATTCCATCGAAAGAAGACATCGATCAACGTCTACATCTTCAAAGCGTGCGTCTACTACTGCGTTAAGTTACTGTAAGTTAAACTTAAATCATAATTCGATATTCATTGTCATATTCATATTTATCATCTCATCGCTTATTATTAATTTTAGTCTATCTATTAATAGACCTAAATTGTGACCATCCATTGTGCATACCAAGTTATGTACCCGTCTTTCCTATTTTCTTAAATCAGGTTCTGGCGACAACACTTGCATCGCGATACTTGTTCATACTGTAGTTTAACGTGGTTCATCGTAGACTTAATAACTGCTTGGTATATAGAATATTAGGTGCGTAAACGAAATGATCGATGGAACTTTTTTCATTCCGTCTATCTCTTTCGTTTGAGTATTAGCGACTACGTTGCGTTTAGTTTAAGTTACTTCGTATTAATAGCATTAATCGTATTAATTAGAATATTAAGATAATATTAGTTCTAAGCTGAAGAACGAAGACAACCGACGAGGGAACTTAGTTTTTTATAGGTTTAGGCTCAAGAAAGAAGTCATCCGCCGAGGGATTTTAGTACCGATAGTATTACATAGTTAAGATTTAAGTTATTTATAAGGTTTATTGTGAAAGGTGGGTAGATGTAGAACATGTGATTCCATCTATCTGCCATGGGCCTCCACTCGCAGCAACCTCCTCGTGGTGAGGCCTGGGCAATCGGTATTATCATCGGTAAAGTACTGTAAACTGAAGACAATATCGAGCTAATTTTGATTGGAATATGAATGCTGCTGGAAGTATAAACATTTTCACAGGACAATGATATAAATGGAACTTTAAAACTTTTTTTAAGTGTTACATTGATATTTCGTTGGTCTCCGTATTAGCGCACTGCGCTGAACGCGGATAGGATGTTGTTGTAGTCGCAAGTGAGCAATTGAATCGAATGGACGTATTGTTTTTTATATCATTATAATTTATATGTATATTCCAATAAACATACGTCAGGTAATATAAGCTTCATTTCATCGAATTGTCTTAAATATATAATTATAGTTGTCTGGTTCAATAGGTTACTACAGAAACTTACTACTGCCTACGTCTTTTAAACTTGGGCTGTAGTAGTATCTGCAGAAACTGCCATGGTTGCTGGGGTTATTATTTAATTTCTCCACGGGAACACGGACAAGCGTCAGTCTCAATTCCACAGTTGCACGAGCAACATTCGACCGAGCTAAAGAGTTGACGAGCAATAGCGATAAAGGATCACGTTTCAAATGTGTACTGACGCAAGCCATTTCACTACCGTTCATTGTCCCGTAATTCACATGTAATAACAACAGATTGAATCCAGCAGAGGACTACTGCAAATTATTAGACATGTCTATCGTATACCACCGGTAATTAAAATTTCGGCGTCAAACTTATGAAACCTTTATGAAGCTTTGAAGACGGTACGGAAGATTTGCAAGTTACAGAGGAGAGACTTATTTGCGGCATATAAGTTACAATATTTTATAAGCCTGAATAATATCTAAGCCTACTTTTTCTGAATTTATATAAATATCATTACAAGTATATTGTAAAATCATATAGATAAGTAGGATTTAAGTAAAATAAGTATCTAAGGGCACTTTTATTGAATCTACACAAATATTATTATAAATATATTGTAAAAGCATGTATGTAAGTAGTACTTAAGGCAATTGTTGTTAAATTTATAGAAATACTATTGTAAATTGTATATTTTCGTATGATTTTTTCAATAAAAAGCAGTCAAATCATACATATGCGTTATTCATTAATCCCGGCACTATCTTCACTCCTATTCCTAATATTAATTAACCAAAAAAGTAATAAGAAATAATAAACAATAACAGAATAATTAATTCTAAAACTTTAAGTTTTGGAAATTCTGGAATTAGTTCCTATTTTCGCCACCAAAGTGGTGGGGACGCCACTAAATGTCCCATAAATCCCGCATTTTTCCGGCACTTTTCTGAATCCAAGATGGCGGAAAAACGTGTGGGGTCAGAGAATCCCGCAGAACGTCTTGCACGTTTGTGGCAGAAATTGGAACTAATTCCAGACTTAAAAAAGTGCAGGTTTCGTACTACGAGTCGTAGTCTACGACCCACCTAAACTGGGTATACAATATGTCTGAATATGCTATGACATTATTGGACACGATCAATCAGATCAGTCTGTATCAATTTGCATACAATATCATACAACATCTACAACGTGTACCACAGTGATGCCAAGACGTGGGATTTTCTCCCACGTGGGAGCCTTCGTGCGCATGCGCATGCGACGTCACAGCTCGACGGCGGTTGTTTCCATGGATGTATCTATGTGCAACAGTAGGTACGCGTAAGGAGCCCTTCCCAGTTGTTTCCCGCGTTTTTCGTTAAAGTGAAGGTGAGTCGCGTAATGTTATATAATATATTGAATTGTAGTGCAATATTAGTGTATTACAGTGACAGAAACCAGAAGATGGATTACCAGCAGCCTAGTTCGAGTGGATTGGCGGATAAGAAGAGAAGTAACAAAGGGAAAGTATTCCAATTATCTTGGCTAAAGAATAATATTTTCAAAGACTGGTTAAAATCTGATAATAATAAAAAAGCTTTCTGCACGGCTTGCAATAAAGTCTTGGCATGCGGAAAATCAGAACTTATTAGACATTCGCGGACTCAATTACATATTAAAAATACAAGCAAAAGCTGTGATATCACACCATCTGTTTTATTACCAAAAGTTGATAGTAATTCTGATTTGGACCATGTTAATAAAGTCAAAACAGCCGAAATAAAGTTAGCTGCGTTTTACGCGGAGCACAATATAGCTTTTCAAACAATTAATCACATGGTCCCTTTATTAAAGGAAACCTGTTCAGATCCGCAGGTGGTTAAGGATCTAAAATTGTCACGAACTAAATGTACGCAGATAATAAAAAATGTAATAGGCAAACGCGAAAGCGATAAGCTTATTACAGAATTAAAAATTCAGAAATTTTCAATATTAATTGATGAAAGCACGACTATATGTTTTATATATAATGTTCTTGTTTGAATACTAGTAAGGTTTTCTGCAGTTTTTCTTACTCTCGCAACAAATGTTTGTATTCATGTAATAAATCGGCTGCAGATGTACAAAATAATAAAAAAATATATATTCATTTATTTCCATGTAAATATGTTATTTCTTTTAAAAATATCCTCTTCCTGTAATTTCTACCGTATTTCAATTGTCACGGGGGTCTAACGATACCCCATATTTGAGTCAAGTATATACGTTACTGAGGATTAGGTAGTGCGCATGCGTGGGAAAAATCCCACGTCCTGGCATCACTGGTGTACCGACGTGAACATATACAACATATCTTCCTATACAAATTTTTATCACTTTTGTGATTTTTGTACGGACTGTGTAAAATTTATATACGCAATAAGTTTCATAAAAAATGGATTGTAGTAAAAATATAAAGTAGCGTTAAAAATGAATGGTGTGTCATGATCACATGTTAAATCTATATAAGTAACAAATTAATTTACGTACTTTTAAAAGCCGTTACTTTACAATACAATTGTCAACTTTTTTCAGTTTATTTAGTAAAATTATTATTACAGTATCAATGAACTTCGTCACTTTTAAATAACAATAAATATCCTAATAATTCGTTATGATCAAGGAAAAGAACAGCATTTGGAAGCAATCTTTATATCTTGTTCGGAACATCTTTTATACTATTTCAATTTAATAGTTAATTTAGTGATTTATTTTAAAACTTTTATAGTGATTAAGAATTGTTTTATTTATAATTGAGAAATTTTTTCGAGTACTCTAATACATATAGTCTCTTACAAAACTATGTATTAACTGTGAAAAAGAATACAATTGGTAATAAAAACATGAATTTTAATAATAATATGACAATATTGTTCTAAAGTACTTTCTGATTATTTTATAAATGTGTTTAAGAATTGAGTAATAGCAAAATATAACCATAATTAAAATGCTATAAAAAAGAATGCAAAAATGTATAAATTATTGTGTAAAAGATTAATTTATCAGAATCAGTATACGTTACCTTTCACACGTACTTGTATACAACAATGTCAAACACAAGCAGAAAAAAAGATAGAGAAAAGCAGAGTATCCAATATTAGAAAGTATTGGTTCGATAAATATATAGATTATGTTAAAAATTATGAACACATAATGGAAAAGAATTTTCCACAGACCATGCAGGTATATCGTGTGTTCACTATTGGCACTAGAGAATTAATTAAAGAAGTAAAAAGATCTATCTCAATAGTGAAGAAGCCAATTAATGATTTAACAACAGAAGAGCTGCAAATAAGTTATACAATGCCAAAAGACTTAATAAAAATGTGTCCTGTTCTATTAATATGTGCTATCCCATTTACAAACTATGTCATATTTCCTCTGGCATATTATTTTCCGAGATATCTTCTAACTTCTCATTATTGGACACCACAACAAAAACTTGATTTTCTGCTATTAGATCATAAAAAGCGATTAAAACACAATAGACCATTATTCAGATGTATGCAGGCGGAACTCCATAATATTAAAAATCAAACATTAAAAGCAAAATGGGATGGTGTTATCGCATGTCTTGGTAGTGGCACACATCCACATATAGAAGATATTATTACCTGTTCTGAATTATTCAATGGTTCACCATATGCATTAGAGAATCTTAAAAGAAGACATATAGTATGTTGAATGATTATAATAATTTTAATTAACGTTATGTATAATTTTGTTTTTAAACAGTGTATATATTCATAAACATCAAATTTTGCAAAATGTATATTTTGAATTAATGTGTATTTTAGACAGAATTACTCGCCATACATGATATATCGTCTTGGGGACCTTTCAGGAAAAAAAAATTATTTGATAGAGGCATGCTAATAAAACAAATGGATGAAGCTATACAGAAAGAAGGAGGAGTTACAGAAATGTCAAATGATGCAATATGTTGGGTGTGCATATAAAAATCATGATCTACTATTTGTTAAATACATTTTTTATCTATAATACATATTTCACTATATACTATATTATAATTATTACATATATAAAAATTACATACTGTTTTAGGCACTTTCATTTAGAGGTCTTAGCCCTGCAAATATGTCAATAGAAAATATGAGAAAGTGGCTTGATCAATGGCTCATAATATCAAACACTGTCAAGAAAAACACAATTTCATTATTATTACACAGTCCAATACTATTGGCATATAATCATCCTAATAATTGGATTCTTATATATAGTTGATGAAACAGTAGGACTAAAAATTTAATATTTTTATTGTAATATTGTATGTAGGTATTGTAACAACATAAAATTATAATATTTATTTGTACTTTAAGTGTTCATATAAATTCTTTTACATCATGTGACTTGTTCAACTAGTTTACTGTTTTCAAACTGTATATAAATAAATTGTACGTTATATCTTATATGCCAAATGTATATATGTACATATTTAAGCCAAAGTCCCAATGTTGCTAGCCATTTTGCAAACTGGTAGTAATACTGACTAAAGTCTGAAAGTTAAGAATATGTTAAGCACATTATTGTTATTTTAAACATTGTCCAAACGGTTTTAGCAATCGCGAGGAATGTGTTACCAATGCAAGAAGTCACTATTATAAATTATTTGGAAATATACTTTGAAGAAATTGTTATGATTAATTCTTTAGAAATATCAAAATATACATATAGAGTAAAAATTCTAACATTAATGCATAATATATTAACTCCAAAGTTACACGAACTTACTGAACTTTTTATATGAACCTGTATCACTATCACATATTATATCTATTATGAAATGAAACTCAATTTTTTAAAGGGTATAGCAGGATGAGGGGGTCAAAAGTGCCCTTAGACCGATTTGCACTAGTAATATACTATTCGATAGCTTGTCAAGAAAACAAGGTTTGTACCAAGTTGCAACCCTCTATCTCGACCAGGGGGGTAGTAATATGGAAAATACGGATTATCGGCTTTTCCTCTATTTTCCCTGTTTAATGACGCGCAAAAATTCTGTAAAAAATCTGATAGATAGTATTTATCGGGACGCAGTTGGAGACTGTGCGATTTTTTAGTTGAGTGTATATACTAGTTGTGAAGAATATTTTTTTTTATTGAAGTTTTAACGGCACCACATTTAACCTTTCACAGTAGCAATATATTATCATAAGTAGCATCCTAATTGTTTTTGAGACTTTTTGGTAGGGTGTGCCGTAGTTTAAATTTAAAAAATCAAGAACGGATTCGAACCCTCGTTCAAGCTCCGCATGGACTGACTTTTTTTATTACATTAATTATATTTTTTTAATTTCTAACAAAATGACAATGACCAGTATTTATTTAAAAGCACTTTAAAAATAGTTTAAAATATTTTGATTCAAAAATATGTACAAAAATAATAGGATTATTTGTATTTTTCGATACTAAATACATACATGTGTTAATTTAATTTTTTTAGTTAATATATTATTTTGCTGAATGTAGAAACACGTGAAATCATATAATATACTTATTTAATGAAGGAAATACAAAAATTAAAAGTATAAGTTACTTTTTCACGGAAAAAATCGGTTTTTGATTTTTTAAACTATCGCGCACCCTACCAAAAAATCTCAAAGAATAGAGGATACTACTTATGATAATATGTTGCTACTATGAAAGGATAAATGTAGTCATAAATATTTTTACTTTTTGTTTTTTCACAATTAGAATACTCAACTAAAAAATCGCAAAAAAATCTCCAACACGCGCTCGGATAAATACTATTTATCAGATTTTAGACAGAATTTTTGCGCGACATTAAAATAGAGGAAAAACCGATAATCCAAATTTTCCGTATTACTATATTTACGTACAGCTATACTACGTACAGCCTTTTTCACTGTAGCAGTTGATGTGTTAATATTTTTGTTTTTATTTGCTCACAGCGGAGTTAGTTTTCACGTTTCCATTTTAAAAGTCAGCTTATCTTTAGGTAAGATTTCAAGGAATACGATCATATTTTTTACCTTCAACCCTCTGAGTGAAATTTGCAAATGAACAATCTGTTCATAATTTTCTACGTTATCAAAATGATTGTACACCAACAAAAATATTATTTCAATAGGCGGTATCTTCTAGATCAAAATAATCGAAGAATGAACTCGATACAATAAATAATTTGCGAAATACAAAGTTTTAAGTACATCATTGCTTGTATTCTGCGACGCAAGAGTCCTCGATTGAGTCCGTTTGTATTCCATTTCAACGGGAGACAGAAAGACAGGCTATATTTGTCGAGGGACTCTCCGTAGACTCCGTAATCACTCTACAGAGTTCTGTAGACTAGTGTAGAGGCCCTGCCTACAGACCCAAACAGACCGCCGACAATTGTCGTAGGTATGAACGTGTCTTCGAAGTTCGAAGTTGAGAACGCGAGAAATTGTGGGCGGGCAGTCGAAAGACTGTCCGCGGACCGTGTACGCCAACAAAAGTCGTAAATGTAGACAGCCCTTGAAGGGTTATGCCTACCTATAAATTTTGAAAAAATCGATTTTTGGGTTTTAATATTTTCTTACAGTAGGTACATTATTTTAAAAATATTGTGCGAAAGTTTGAAGTTGATCCGACTAAAATTGTCGGAGTTACGCTCGTTTAAAAATACGGCCTTGGAAGTTTCGGAGTAGATATAAAGTGGTATCTGTGTCGCGCACAGTCATCATCAGTATATTAAGATTTATTTGTATCTTTTATTTATTTCATTGTTAGAATATATCTTTTTGGTTATCAAGAACGAGAGTGATTTCCTATCCCTCCCATTCCCTATCCAAGACTGCGTACTTCATCGGTAAGTTTAGACAGAGCGTGCTTTAGCACCTTAAAAGAGCCAGGACCCGTAATTATTAATAAAGCAACGACCGCAACGCAGGATATAACACTTTCATTAGTATTTATCTCATTTGTCTTATTTGTTTCAAAGATTTTTTCGTGGATTTAACATTACATGTATAATACTTTGTTTTTAAACAGAAATCATGACAGGAAAATAAAGTAAAATACAAGGAACTTGTAATAAAATAACACCTTGTGTACAGATAAAATACTTTCATTTTACCAAGTATATATTTCTCTTCATTTACATAAGTATATACATATTATAAAATATAAATCTTTATCTCCTGTATAGACTTGAATACAGTATAATACAAATTTCAACTTTGTACTAACTATAAAATATAAATTTCACTATTATTCAAATTATAAATTGTTCATCTTACCAAATTATAAACCTGATATGTTAATAGAAATAAATAAGGTACATGACTACATAGAAAACTTTTAGAAAGGTGAAAAGAATTTTACACAATTACACTGCTTGCCCTAATCAATTGGTATATAAGCAGGTAAAATACCAATTGGTGACCGTTTTACCACTTTTGTATCAGAAAAGTCTTCTGATTCAGCACTATCATTGGTTAAAGCTGAATTTATAGTATAATTAGATATTTCTATTAATGTATCAGATTGAACTACGGCTTTCATAAGTTTTACTTTTTTCATGACACTTTCTCTTTTTTTATTAAAATTTTTATCGGCATCCGTGTCCATTTGCTCATAGTACCTAAGTCTATTTTCATTGTTACAAGAGGACACATCTTTTGACATATGATGTGTTACTTGATCGTTAGACACATTATACTGCCTCTTTAAATGGTTTTGTTTTGTAAAAGATATTTGTGATTTGTGAGGGTAGGGGCAATGCTTACCTTTACTGCACTTTTCCATCTTCTCAAACTCAGGACATAAATTTTCATGACGTTGTTTACACTGTAAAAGAAAAAACTTCCAGCTTTTAAATATTGTGATCACACATGATTTCTGATTATACAAATCATTAATCACTTTTGATATCAATAGTCATCCTATCTTTAAGCCAATGTACATTTTACTCTGCTCTATTGCATTAATAGCTATTTACTTTGAAATTAAGTTAACAAATATAATCGATTTTAACAGGTATTGGCATATACAGAACTAAATGACTAATGCATTAACAAATACATTTAAGGATATATAAATCTTATTGTAATGTTAAACTAATATTTGAATGGAAATCATGAGAAAAATAAATCAATAATATTGAGAACGCACACTGACGTGAACATTAACCGATTTGATTGGTTAAGCTTACGCAGATATAACAGTAGCAAATTACAATTATAGTCGCGAACTTAAGCGGATGTAAGAATGTAAAATCGGTTGATTAAATGTTAATATATTGTGAAAAACAATTATATACAAAAATAAAGAAATACTTAGTAGAATCAGTGACTACAGATATAATAAGATTACGAATGCCACTGTTGTCAAAGGGTCATGGATTTTGGGTGCCTGAGGAAGCCAGAGGGAAGTTAGGTCTCTATCACCACAGACGAGATTCTCGTCTGTGCTACATAGCATATACAGGGTGTCTTACCCGATTCTGACATCTTGATTTTCTCGCTATTGTTACTCGTAGCAAAAAATGTTTCAGCGGAGGCTTGAATGGTATCGAGTGGAACATATTCTGATATTAATTTTTTCGTGAGTAGACGCGTAAAGGTCATATAAAGGTCAGTTTTGTTTTTTTTAAATGGAATGAGGTATTTTTTAATACATCAATCGATGCAGCTGGACATTCGTTATAAAAAAGTACTAACCTATGTATGTCGAAAAGTTAGTAGTTCAGTTAGTTCAGTTAGTTAGTTCAAATTAGTACTTTTTTATAACGAATAGTCCAGCTGCATCGATTGATGTATTAAAAAATACTTCATTCTATTTAAAAAAACAAAGTTGACCTTTATATGACCTTTACGCGTCCACTCACAAGAAAACTAATAACATCAGAATATGCTCCACTCGATACCATTCAAGCCTCCACTGAAACATTTTTTGCTACGAGTAACAATAGCGAGAAAATCAAGATGTCAAAATCAGATGAAACACCCTGTGTGTGCACACACACACACGCACACATCATACACACTTAGTAGAATTTAAATACTTCTTAAAAAGTATGTCTTGTATAGGTGAAAATTACTGTGTGTAAAATATTTCAGAACGTGTTAGCCTTTCAAGTATTAAATTTCATAAAAGGTAAATGGAGAAGCAAAAATAAAAAAAATTCATCACTGTGTTAGACGTTACTATTGTTTCATGGCTCACGGATTAATAGGTTTTATCTTCTTTCCGATATTTTATCGTCAACTGCATCGACTCTTGGTCGCGAGTGACATAAAAAATGAGCCAGTCACATGAAAAAGCTCAGATCTTAAATCCACGACAAAGAGAATTTTAGTAAATAATGTAATTCAAGTGACGATTCAATGCCGACTTCAATCGCCAATTGCGATTGATAATTAAAAATTCAATTGTAATCGTTAATCGTAAATTCCATTAAATTTTGCCCAACACTGGCTCAGAATTTACTTCTTTTTATCACGCAATGTGACGTCTTCGTAGAAATGACTTAAAATGTTAAAGATAATTGAACAAATGAATGTTAATTACCTTAAAGATACCAAAAATGACTGTTCTGTGCAATTAGCGTGTCAGTTACGCGAAATTCTAACGAATAATTATAGTCTCCCTTCATAGTGAAAGGGTTAGTTTATCTTTCTTTGAACTAAAATTCAATACATGTATTTTTTGGTATAGTAGAATAGCACATATCTGTGACCGAAATGCTTTTGAAAAAATATTAATAATACACTAGTATTAAACAGTTGTTTTACTGAAGTGTGCATTCATAAATTACAATTATGATTTAAAACTGTCTACCAAACTATATATATATATATATAACTTTAAAATATAAAGTTTTTAATTTAAAATATAAAATTTATACTTTTACATACTTTGCTTGAATAGGAACTAAAGTTCATATGGTGAGTATCTGAGTCATATTACTATCATCTAGGTATAGGAATTCTTTTACTATTCTACTATACACAGCTTTTATAAAGTATCACAATAAAAAAATGTTTATATTACCTCCTGACCCTTAGCACAATATCCTTGCAAAAATTCTCTGCAAATTGGAGTGTTGGAAGAAACTTTAACATGGCGATAAGGACAACCATCTCTCACACAACAACCTTCTAAAAAATATTTGCAGGTTGGCATTTTTTCAGGTCCTACATTATGAGATAGTGGACACTTATCCAGTAAACAATTTCCTTGTAGAAACCTAAAATAAATTTTACTACTGAGTAAGCAAATACACTTTCTGTAGCAAAAAAAGACTAGAAATAAATTTACTTTTTACAAAGGGAAATTTGTTTTTTATCATGACGTTTTAAGCAAATTCCTTTATCATGATTGGAACAATATCCAAATCGTTGAAATATTAAACATGGCTGATTGTTCTTCTGCATTTTGTTACGTAGTATTTGTATACTTCTCTGTTTGACTTTATTGCTGCAATTAAAGATTTATTATTAGTAAATTTAAAAATTCACTGCATTTTGCAGAATTATATCTTAGTACAGAAGATCAGAAGCAGTCCTACAATTGTCATAACAAAAGGAATAAGAATATTTATCAAATATAATTTTTAAGAAAGAAGCATAAGAATTTTCTTAAGTTGTCCCTCTACTGTGACGGATTAAAATAATTGATTTTCTTTTTTCGCATTATCTTAAAGTTTAACATTTCAAACACATAATCCCAAAGGAATTTAGCCACATTCGAAATATTACGGAAGTTAGTAGTCTTGAACCGGAGCGGCGCGTACGTAGAATATAACTATACATAAAACTTTAAACGTGTTTTTCTCAAAATAACATTTTCGTAAATGTCTGCCACGATATCTCAAAAACTATTTTACAGACTACCTTGTAGCTTCGCAGGTATATTCATAGATGTATAGTTCTCGCCGGTACTTAGGATGAAATTTTGTTTTAAAAACACTGTTACTTTGTTATTCTTCAATGTTTTTTTTAGTCATCCTAGTATGGGCGATATCCACAGTCATACAGATTAACAGTTTTATTTAATTAGAATTCAGATAACATAGACAGCTGCTATGATGGCAGCCATGGAGATATATTTTATTAGACACTTCCCGAAAATTATTGTAACTTTTAATGTCTACTATATTTTTACATCAAACAAAATTTGATGTATTCCTTTAATGTATATGGATAAATGTAAGACAGTTTAAAATCGATACACTGTATAGTTTTTTCTAGAAAAATCACAATATTGTACCTGATGGTTGAGCCATCACAGTAGGGAGTCCCCTTAATCCTAAAGTAGTATATCAATGTAAAATGCTGTGTACCTAATATTGGTTTTGTAGTTAACTTTCTGTGATACGTTAGATGATAATTTTGTTCCAGTAGTTGTGTTAAGTACTTTCATTCTGGAGTGTCCTAATGTTTCTTTCACAGATTTTATCCTACATAATTTTTTACCATTTTTAGCCACAATGAATTTGTCACTTTTTGTATTTGCTATACGCTTTTCTGCAATAAAATAAAAAATTGTCATGTATTTATATGACATTACGTGACAATTGATGTTACCACAAATATTATGACTTACTTTTTATTGCATAGCTTTTACGTACTAACTGATTTTTAGAAGACTTGTAAACTATTCCTCCAATTGTAATTAACTCCATTTTTTTATTTCTGTAATTATTATTAACATACAGATTTTAATTATTTAACGTATTTAAAATTATCAATGTATATTAATCATATATCATACATACGTGACTTTCTTCCGAGTCACACTTGAATGTTCTTTAATACTTATTGTTTGTGGTATAGTTCTATCTATTCTGTACTTGTTTATTTTAGGTTTTGTAACTAGTGATTTTACAGTACTTGTAGTTTTGTTAATCGATTGTTGTAGAGCATTTATTGCTTTTGTTTTTACAACTTTGTGAGACAGAGGTTTAGCATTCCTTATTGAATTTGGTGACTTTTTAATTTTGTGAAGTTCTATTTGAGAAGTATTTAAGGATTTTCTTGAATTACGCCTTACACGTATAAGCTTTCTTCGAGACAAAAGTACAATACTAGAATTATTAGTCTTTTTTGGACTATTAACATTTTTTAAAGAATTTGCATTTTTAATAAATTTTAATCTTGAACAAATTGGATGACTAATATTCTGTACTACAGTATCTTTCTGTTCCATTGGTTTAGGTTGTATCGAGGAAGATAATTTTTTCATTAATTTTGGATTTACATACACTGATTTTTTTATAGAGTTTTGATCTTGTAAAGAATTTTCTTTACTATTTATTATATTTATAGGATTGTTTCCTACCCTTTCATTACTATGAATAATATTCTTCATCATTTTTGGATTAATGTGTACCAAAGATTTTTTTCGTAATGTTGGATTGATATGTATAAAAGAATTTTGTGGTTTAAAATTTGGATTGATGTATACATTAGTAGTTGTTGCATCATTACATGGAGCACCACTGGAAGTCTTAGAAAGTGGTTTACATTTTTGAACTAAATTTGTATATTTGTACGATTTTGTAAGACCTGAGTTTGGATTCAAAAGATTTTCTTTCACGCAGCATGATTTCTTCTTATGATGTTCTATTAAACCTGAAATATGTAATTTTACTTTATTATAAAATGTGAAATTAAATAGAATAAATAACGTGGACACCAGATTCAAACTCCAGTTCTTGGAATTCTAAGCTATATATATGGATGTTGTTTCTGAAAGAAATTTTGGTTTTAGTACAACGAAAACATTATGTTAATGTTGAAACAGGTTCTCAATAGTTGTTAGCACATCATATAAATGCATCTCTTCATATTTAATTATCAATATTCTGTAATGTTTATATCTTCTTGTTATTGCTTGAACAAATCTAATATACGTTTTTATTAATAATAACCAGAAACGTCACAGTAATAAAAAAAAAGTTGTTTAAAACTTTTAACCTGTGTGTATGTGATGTATTTGTTTATTCAAGAAAACAATGTTACGCGTAAAAACTCTATGATAAACTTGAATACAATGAAATGTATGCACTGCTGATTAAAAATTGACATTGATGTAATAACAAATTCACAAAGTAGTACTTTATTATTACAAAGAACAAATTCACGTTTTGCATTTATGTTGTCAAATGTAGTGATGCAAAAATAGTTCTTAGTATATTTTTCCCAAATATATCAGAACATTTAGTGAAACGGTTCCTTTAAATGTTTAACTACCCTTTTGTAGAATTACTTTCTATTATATATTTTGAACATATGTGAGGTTTTGTTTTACACGTATTACATTTAGCACTGAACTGATTACACAGAATTTTAAACTTACGCGTTAAATAGTGGATCTCTTTTAATAAACTTTCATCCATATTTAATAGTCCAAAACTACACTTTTTACGAACTATTATTTGCTATTATTGAATGAATGTAAATAGGAAGAAACACAAAGGCAGAAAGGCTGCGTTCAACGTGGTTCAGCGGACTCAATCTGACCAAGGGTGTTCCAGTTAATACATTATTTTGTTAACACGACATTAGTACCATCTAGCGAGATGTAGGGGTACTATATGACCAATGGCGGGCGCTTCAAAATTCGTATTAAATGCATCCCTTATTTATTAGTAGAGATGGCGTGAACTGCTACTATCGACTAGGTATAGAATAGACCTATCAACCAATGCTTTTTGTTGTCCCACGCGTAGCATGTGTATAGACGGAGTATTTACTGAGCGGGGGAGTAAGAGTCGCGGTAAGGGAGTGGTTAGTTATAAATCGGGTAACTTCGTTCCTTTTCGGTGCTATTCGAGTATACAATCACGTTACATACATATATGCTATGAGAGATGAAAAGAATATACTTATTATATGTTAAAAATTCCGTATGTCATGTAGTTTGTATAGATATATGTATTTGACAAACTTAATAAATAGTATAAAGCATTAAATAATAGTACGGCACAGCCCACCACCCATAAAATAACGAGCCGAATGCGTCCGAAGCAAACCGACGTATATCTAACGACCGCTGTCTTTTCCCCTCCAATCCTACGGTCCCCTCGCCAAAAGTGGTAGCTTTGTCGCATTTCAGGCTCCCTGTAGCATTTCAGGCGATTAAAGTAGTCGACGATTGAAAAAATTAGTCGACTGAAAGTAGTCGTTTGTTACTATCGACTTAGTCGATAGTTTTTAGTTGATGGTGCCTAAAAAGTACTATACCCATTCTATGTCCTATACCTATACCCTATACCGCCTATACCTCGTCTGTGCTTGAACCATAGATATATGTCTATGGCTTGAACCAGCTTGCACACAAATCTGTAAGATAAGTAAGAAATTTGCCTATTTATCTTATTTTTGAGAATGGACGTATGCTTTTTTATTGCATCCTTTTTTGTAGAATTTCGTTAAAATAAAAATTCTATACTTCACGCTTCCAAAATTAATAAAGTAATGAAGTAATCTGAAAAAGGAATTGATGATTCTAGAGGTAACCTATGCTAGTCAGTAATTTTCATTCTGTAAAGTCTTTTTTAAATAACTATAATGTATAAAACATAATTTTCGTATTCTATAAAATAAAGTATGTCACACTAATTTAGTATTATAGCATTAACAAAACAGTCAAATATGCCTCCAAAAAAAAATCAAAATGTTTCAAAAGGGAATAAATCGAAGGCATCGGAAGGCACTAGTGGAAAAGAAGAAAAAAAAGGTGGAACTGCAGTCAAAGTATGTAAAAACTTATATATTATAGGTGTAGAAATATAAAAGAATTTATACTTTACTGACTGGAATTATTTTTACTTGAATTGCTTAGTAAAAAAAAGTATGATTATAATGTTTATTTTTATGTTGTACATAAGATTTTTTAACGAAATCTAATATTATTAATATGAATTTTAGTAAAGTTTAAAATAGCTTACAGGTAAGACTAATTTTTAGTTTAGTCCGCACTTGTAAATTCTTTTTCTTTGTTATATCATCATTATATAGAATTAATTGATAAGAACGATTAATCTTCATTTATTATTTTATTATAAAGGTGAGACACATATTGTGTGAAAAACAATCAAAAATTTTGGAAGCTTTGGAGAAATTAAAAGCTGGACAAAAGTTTAATGAAGTTGCTGCTACATATAGTGAGGACAAAGCACGTTCTGGGGTAAATATATTTGCAATATAATAAGATTTTGTTTAAAATGTATGTAAGAGAATATTATATTTGTTGTATATCATTATTTCATTCATCATTCTTGGACTTCATTAGAGGACATGTGTGAGAGACAAGATTATTACGGAATTAATTGAAATATAATAAGTGTATTTAAGGTTAGTATTGATAGGAAAGCAGAGGATAGGATAAAAGATAGACACAAAGACGAATTTGAGGATTCGAAATGGTAGGAACGCAGGAAAGAGGTAAGAAAAGAAAGTAAGGTTAAGATAAGCGCTGTTAGGAAAAGGAATCAGTGGTGCAAAATAGGGTTGAGGATAGCCATAAGGTATTAGAAAATAAGATAAAATAGAAAACAATAAAACATAGGTAAGGTATATAATAAAAAGTAGTCAGAATACATAGTAGTAAGTGAATAGAATAAGTGAGAAGCAGAAGCAGTATGTGACAATGTGGTAACAGAAAAAAATGAAACAGGAAGAGGGTAAAATAAACAATGACAGGATTTCAGAGCGGAAGATGGAGTGTACACCATGCTCGTCAGGTGGAATGAAGACGCAATAAACAAATACAAAGAAACTACAAGGGAAATTACTTATGAGCAAGAAGAAGAACAAGGGAAAATATGGGAGCAATTAAAAAATGCAGTCATACAAAAATGTGGAAAAGAAAGAAATGGAAAATAGGACAAGAATATTGGTGGGACAGGGAATGCAGTAAAGGAAGATGAGAGTGAAGAGGCTTTATAAGAATTGGAAATCCAGAAATATTGAGAAACACGAGTATTTGAATGGATTTAAAAATAATGGAATTTCAGAAATGATCAGGAAAAAGAAACAAGAGAAAGTGGACATGGAAAGGGAAGAAGATAGAAACAGTAAAAGAATTTCCGTATCTAGGAGTAATATTTCAAAAGAACGGAAATTTTAGGAAACATGTAAGAGAGAGAGAGAGTGAAGAAAGCAAATGTGGTCCTCAACCAAGTATGGTGAATAGGGGAGAGGAAATTTCGAAATAACTATGGAATGAGGATATTTCTGTTCAATATGTTGGTAATGGGGATGCTCCTGTATGGGGCAGAGTTATACGGTTATAAAAAAAGGAAAGAGGTGGAAAAAGTACAAATACGGTATTTAAAACGGACATTAAGAATAAATATACGGTCACCAGAGTATATTGTTCTAGAAGAAACAAAGAGGGAGAAGATTGGAATCAGAACAGGAATTAGGACATGGAGGTTTGAGGAGGGAGTGAGGGAAGGAGATGGAAGAAAGTTAGTAAAAGAATGTTTAAAAGAAAAAGAATCAGTAAGGATACAAACTAAAAGCAGCGAAGAAAGACAGGAGTATCGCAATAAAAATGGTATAGGTATAAGAGGGGCGCAATTAAGACGGGAAAGAGGGGTAGAGATCATAGAGGAACTAAGAATGAGGGACTTCCAAGTACAACAACAAGTGCAATATAACAAAGTACAAAAATCAAAGTTCAACCAAAGATATACGTATATAAGCACGATGCAATTACCTGAATACCTAAAAGTAGAGGGAAAACCTACTGACCAAAAATTGATACCACCGGTGAGATGTGGGTCATTAGAATATTGAAACAGGTACTGGAAAACGGAGGAAAACTGACTGCGTGCTTTACGAAGGTGAATTTGGCAATGTAGAACATATGGCAAGAGAAAGCATGGAGATAGAAAGTGATATTACTTTAGAATAAATTGTAAGTGAGAAAAGAATAGAAAATACGGTAGTATGGCTGAGAAAATTAGAGAAGAAGAGAAAAAAAAAGTTTAAAGCTAGGAACAATTAGCGTATAGGTAATCAACAGATGTAAATTGATTTAGATAGATTTTATAGGTAAGAGAGTGGGACGGATAGGGAAAAATATGTAAACCGAGTTTCTTTTCATGGCCAGAAGGCTGAAAATAAATTATTATTATTACTTATTACATTCACGATTCCTATATTGTGTTGAGTACGCTTGACTTTTTAATTAAAAATTCAATTAACTGTATTACAAATTCTTACAAGGAATATGGTTTTGCTATTATTTCAGGGAGATCTTGGATGGATGACACGAGGTTCAATGGTTGGTCCATTTCAAGAGGCTGCATTTGCATTACCCGTTTCTTCTCCTGGTTCTCCAATTTACACAGATCCACCAGTTAAAACAAAATTTGGTTATCATATTATAATGGTGGAAAGTAAAAAATAGATAGCGTATTGACAATTTGTGTAAGTATATGTTATTGATTATGCTGTGAAGTTAATCATTTTTACATAAAAGAAAGTATATATGTACTTATATATTTGGGTAGAATCTATATATTATACATTTTACATATTATTTACTTTATGTATTTGTAAACGTGTAATACAATATTATACTAACGACATAAAGTCGAACTCACAAATGAGGAAGTATAAGTTCCTAGATGATATTAAAATAATTAAAAAAGTATTTAAGATGACATATAAATAAGTATAACATATATATGTATAAATATTCTTTATTTATTATCATTTACAATAAAGATTTTTAAATAAAGATTTTACATGAGTGCAGCAATATAAATATTGTAGTTTCTCAACTCCTAAATTCAATATAAATAAAATACAACTAACAATATTTTACACTGATGCAACAAAATGGCAAATGATTTCTTATGTAACCTATTAGAGAGAAGAAAGTACATGCGAATAGAAATAACCCATACAACAAAGTCTAATAGGAACAAAAATGAGAATAAAGTTTGAAATGCGAAAAGAAAATACTGGCCTGTGAAAAATTAAGAACGGTACACAAATGCAATATTTGCATAGAGATGATATGAGTACAAATAAATGTATTTTCTTAAAGTTCGTAAAATTTGTTTCTTATGCAATAAATATGTTTATACAGAAAGCAACATTCCATTAATTTAGATGTACAGAATAATACACTATTAGTTTCCGCAGGATAATTGACAGATAATTCTGTAAAATTTGGCAATTGTTTATCAAATAACATCAGTTATTTAATTTGCACTGGCGTTATTACAGCTGCTCCCTTTTGTAGATGGTATTCCTTTTAAAGACGAATATTTGGATTGGTAAAATGAACATACTTTAGTAAGGAGTCATTTTCCTCACAGATCCATGGTTTTTTGTGATGGCAAGCAACATCATGCCAGTTAACTCCATCATTATAAAATTGATTGAGTACAGCTAAACAATTTTCTGGAGCACCTCCTTGCTGAATGGCTTCACGATTATCGGGTTGAGGTTTCCCAATACTGAAAAGTGATTATTGTTTTTAACACGTAACTTGAAATATTATAAAGAACATGTATTTATAATTATTAGACATACACATTCTTGAACACTTTGTTCAATATTAAATTGCTACATAATAAGCCAAACTAGTCTTACCCGCCACTTTCAGACCAGTCATTCTGAGTTCTGTCACTAGTTGATGCAAGTTTTTGCAATTCAGCAGTCCAGAACCAGCCATTAATGTGTAGAGGCTGAAGATCAGGTCTGTCGCACCCTTTGAAATCACAAAGACGACCTGACGTCCAAATATATTTTACCTTATCTAAAAACAATAACTGTTATTAGTTCGTCCTACAATATTGATATTTTTAAAATATGAAAAGCATAAAGTATTCTAGTACTTTGAACAATGCGACTTTTGATGAATTCATTTTCCGCAGAAGTTTCCAAAGACACAAGATCCATACACCTTTGCCTACAAAAATTTCTGCCTGCTAACCAGTCCACTTCTTGTCCACTTGTTCTTGGATCAGCCCATGAATAGTAATAACCCTTACCATTAAAGCGTTCGTGAATAACTCCTGAAATATAGCAACTTGTAAATTTTTTTATTTGAATCACCATAAATTACACTGTCCATCAAATTTTAACCTTAGTTTTGTTTTGCAATATGCCCTGGGTGATCCTTATAGAGTTTCTGACCCTAAACACGAATCCGCAAGCAGAATTGCTTTATCAGCCTCAGTTTTTGAAAAATACGAATTTTTGTAAAAACGTACGATTTAGGGTAAAAATGGCGTATTATGGGAAAACTAAAATTGCCAGAAAGTTTAGCGTACTCTTAAAAGATAGAGGAGAGTTTCTTGATTATATCAGTGTATACAGTTATTAAATGTTGCAATTTTGAATGGTTGTAATTGGACGCCAAAGTTCAAAAAAGAGTGGCTGCGCGTATTTTCTAAGCACTACTTTTGCATTTGTACAAAAAGTTCTTTATCCAGCACGAATTCGCTACATAGTATTGGATTCTGCAAACATTTCTGAACAAGAAACCATCCAGAAAAAGTATAGAGACAGTTTTGTATTCGGAGAGGTCGAGAAAGTATCCGTTGGGAACGTGTGCGCGGCCATTACCCGTCTGCCTCGGTGCATCAATGCCGTAGCTACACGCAATCGACACCGATAATACACTCTAATTAGCACCCACTTTTTAGATGTATAACGTTTCATGTTTTTCATACATTCTTCGGCACTAATCACGGAATTGTAAAGAACTTCTCTTCATCACTGTAAGTTTCAAACAATTTCGATGTTCAGTCCATGAATATGTATGGGACTTGTGAATGTGAAGCCACTAAAAGAGACAAATGCATATGTTGATTAACTTACAAGGTTTTTATTATTTTGATTTTCACGATTTAGAACACTTTCCCAAATATAGCAGTATTTGAAACTCATTAAACAACCCAGTCAGCCAAACCTTCAAAGCCAAATTTTGTACAATGCCTGTTATAAAATTATGGCTACTATACTTTTTCTGGATGGTTTCTTGTTAAAAAATGTTTGCAGAATCCGATACGGTCTAGCGAATTCGTGCTGGAGAAAGAACTTTTCGTACAAATGCAAAAATAGTGCATAGAAAATACGCGCAGCCATTCTTTTTTAAACTTTGACATCCTACTACAACCATTCAAAATTGCAACATTTAATAACTGTATACACTGATATAATCAAGAAACTCTCCTTTATCTTTTAAGAGTAATCTACACTTTCTGGCAATTTTAATTTTCACGTAATAACGCCATATTTACCCAAAATCGTGCGTTTTTACAGAAATTCGAGTTTTTCAAAAACTGAGGGTGATAGCAATAGCGCAATTCTGCTTGCGGATTCGTGTTTAGGACGAGGAACTCTATAAGGATCGGCCAGTGAATATTGCAAAACAGAACTAAGGTTAAAATTTGTTGGACAATGTAATCAAAGAATTATTGAAATATGTTTTTCTGGAATTTGATTTTCTTAAATAATTTGATGTGAATGGTACATATTTTTTTGATTTCGAAATGTCCTTGACTTTTCGTATACAAACAATAGTTAAAACGATTAAGATTTAATATAATTTTTTTGTTTATACATTTTGAAATAAAACATGTGTTTAATAACGTTACAGTAACATTATTGTAATAGTAAAATTAACGTACTTTTTGTTATGGTTTTTATAATTTACATAAAATAATTGTATATTTGTATAAAATTGTAAGAAATATCGATGTGTTAGTTAAATAACGTTAATAAATCCTGAACGAATACGAAGCTGTTTAATATAAGCAGATTTATTATAACCGGTCTACAGGGATTTAAATGAATATTTATGAGGCTATTTATGCAAATACTGAGAAACCACTTGTTGTTACTGACAAGGAAAGTATTACTTATCATTTTAATCTTTGATTGATCGCATATTTTTGGCGATAACTATCACCAAATTTTTGTTGTCAGCATCATTATAAACAACACTGCAAACACTTTATCTCATTCAGTTTTAATTCTCTACGATTAAATACCGCGTACAAATATTTTTTCTTGTTAGAGCGTTTTATATTGAATTATCTCCTAAATAGCACAAAAACGTTGTATGCATGTCCGGAGAACGTATGTTCCGGACGTTCGATAGATGCGAAAGATGTCCCGAAAAGGTTCATATGTCTCCCCTACGTCCTCGTTTAGATCTTTAAATGTCCTAGGAAGATCCTATTTACAAAGTGGAACGTTCCGAGGACGTCCCGTATCAACATTCTCAGAACGTTTTCCGAATGTGTAAAAGTAACATTCTCTGTACTTTTTGGGAACGTTCAAAGAGTTTTTAAAAACGTTATGGTAATGTCTTAAAAGGCGTGTAGGAAATGTTTCCCAAATGTTTAAAATTACGGTTAAATTTTATTGTGTGTAAAGTGATAGAAGTTAATAAATAAAAGATTAACTTTCCTGCGATTTTCACACTTAGTAGAAATTAGATCAAGTTAGTTCCTGTAAATAAATAAAATACAACAGCGTGCTAAACGAAATCGTCCGAAACTGAAATCCTACAAACATTCGTAAGACGTAAGAAACGGACATTCCTAGTGCATGTGAAATTTAAGTTTTGAGAACATTCGTAAGACTTTCGGGATTGATGTTTTTAGAACATCCGGAATTTAAGTCTTACGAACATCCTGGGGATGTCCAAAATTGACGTAGGGCATTCGGATATAAACTGGACATGAGACGGACGTCCTTTGTATGTACGATGCTGTCCGGGCTATTATAGAAGTTTCTTTCAATTTTCATATTTAATTTGAACATATGAATATTCTAGAAAAAGAATATTAGAAATGCATATTGTTTTCATTTTCTAGGAAGTACATTCGTTTCAAATTTAAATTACACTTTGCAAATGTTATAGCAGAAGCGTTTGTTTATAATAGTATTTATTCAACTGTTCTCGGTTCCTCTTCCTTTCCTTCCACTTAATGGTGCATTTACCCCGTTCTGTTTGTAGTAGAATCATGGATTCCTATTTCCGCTAATTCTCTACTTTCCTCGGACTCATTAAATATTTGAGATCCACCATTATCTTTATTTGCTTTCCGTCGTGACAAAGATTTTGTCCTCCAAGGTGAAAGTTACAAATTTCAATGTCGCTTGTACCTTTAGACAGTATAGTCACGGCTTAAAGATTGACGTCGCACGGTGTATGCTAATTATACAAACTACTTTCTCAAAGAAAGAGAAAGAAAGTTTGTCACAGTTTATACAGCATATTCAGGGTGTCCCACCTAAGGTGGTACAAGCTATTTTCACCGGGACTGTTTTGAATACCGACAGAAAATTTTCCTTCGTATCACGTTACCTGACCGAGAGCCAGCTTAATGATATCTTGGCGTAGGTATTTAACAACCAGGAACCTATTAGCAGATCGTGTCATGCACATCAAACATATTAAAAAGTATAGCTAAATATAATTAAGTAAAATCGAAGCGCCTATCGACGTAATAGCTTGTTGGCCTAATTGGTAAATTAGTATGTCATATCTCGTTGGTCTTTTACATAATAGATGCGACATTCCTGTTATAATAGCACTTCTGGTAAAGTAGCACGAAAATTTTTCCTTATTTAAATAATTTGAAAAAACTGTAAATATTTCACGAGATAATTAATGAGACTAGAAAGATTAATTATTATTATACAATAAAGGATGCATTGAATTCTCCTCTTTTGAGTTATGTTAGGTCTAAATGTTTATTATTAATACCTTCTTCATTAAATGTGTCTGTACTAAGTGATAGAATACGAAAAAAAGTTTATTGTTGTCGTCAATAATTATGGAACAATATAAGACTATTGTATGTAGTATTTTGAAACTAACAGTATACAGCAATTGAGATACATTTATAGAAAGCTCTCCTAATTTATTAATTAGGTGAAATTGCCTTGAAAAGGGCCTAAAATTGACAACTTTTAAAGTTTAATGAACGAAGGGCAGATACAAGGTATCTTGTTATAAACAATTAACGGATGGGTTGTTTTTCTCTATATTTTTCAATTTCCGGGCATTTTTTAAAACGTTGCAATTTTAATAAATTAAGATTATTATTAATCAAATTTTTAGAAATTATTTATTTTCATGTCTAGTATTTCTTACAAGTATAATGTTTTGTAAAACATTCACCCTTGTGAAGTGGAACGTGGCAGAATTGACATATATACCTCGTTTCGTTTCTCTTTTTCTTTGAGCAGTATACTTTACAAGGCTTCTGGGGATATATTTTCTTTTCTTTTCCCCACGCGTATAAGAATGAAGAACATTGCAACGCAATCAAAATATGTGACAAAACGTAAATCTACGTGTCCAGTCCGTTAAGTAATAATAATAAAACAAAGAAATTGATTCTACATTGAAAAAAGAAAATACAGAATAATTTGTTTTGCATGTGGCTTCGTTTCTAAAGAAATCGAATTTGAAATTTGGCCTAGAATTTGTGAAATTGACTGTAACTCAACTCATACTTTTGATTCGAATTGATTGATTATTTCTGTAATATAATACTTATGTTGGTGTTTATAAAGGTATTGTGACATAATATAGTAATATTTGTTTTCTACAAGATGAAATAAAGTTACAGCCTGTAGAAATAGTGTGCAGTCATATTTAGTAGGTCGTGTACCCGGAAAAATATTAAATTCGATTTTCTTGTAGACTTTCACGTAGAATCACCTCAGCTGTACTACTATATAATTGCAGAACAGTTTATATGTATGTATAGCATTTGTAAAGAATGAAAGTAATGTTGGATTTTTAAAATTTCTCATAACTTTGAATAAAATTATTGTTAGACACTTGTTCATCACAGATGTTTTAATACCTTTTAAAAAATGTTAATTATGGTTTATATTTCAAGTATAACCATTTTTGAAAACACCGAAATAAAAAAAATTTATTTACAAAACTCTATTATGCTATAGTTATATAATTATAAAATAATTTGTAATAATTAGTTGCGGATAATAATTTGAAAATTGTGAATAAGTATCTTGATGTTTCTTTTAATGTAGCCGGTTGAATTTTAATTAAAAATATTTTATCAGCGGTATAAAAAATGATCGTGAATATAAACCTGTCTAACGGTGGATATTTCACACTCGTTTGTCAGAAATCGACCTAATTAGATAAATTTTCTACTCACTTTGTGCACAGAGGCCGGGAATCGGTGGTTCCAAAATCCTTCCGGTAGATTGAAACTGTGCTACTGACAGAGTAATGAGCGTTGCAAGAACAATGTGTTGAAACATTTTCCTTTATTATGTTTCTATATGAAATCTGAAAAAATTGTATATCATTTTAGTGCATGTAAAATTTACATTGTTTAAAACACATATAATTAAGAATACATTATCATTACAATTTTATATCTGACAAAGATAAAAAAATAAAATATAATAAAATAAAAATAATGTTTCAGAAGCATCGTGTATAATTTTTTTAAATTAGTTTCCACTAGTATTTAAGAATTGACATGAATTACAAATTTATCTTTTTTAGCCTTTATTTATCTTTGTATGGTTTTCATCACAAAAGTTTTCTGTCCTGATATATACACGTTACTGATGCCTTAATATGTTGTTATTGTAAATATAATGTAGTTTTACTATAAGAGTAAACTGTTGTTAATTTATCTATGTTTAAGAGTTGAATAATTTACTAAAATATTAATACAAGAAAGCGAGAAACAGATTGGAACCGCGTATTTCGTAATACTAAATCAACGATGCTCACCTAAAGACGTTCTCCTAAGAACTGAAGCGCTTTCCTCCGAAGCATCCCTATATATATATGTATATTACAACGGGGACATCGTGCCAGTACTTTTACGAGTGTACAAGCATTTTCGAGGAACACCCGAATAATTTCGTATGCTCCTTTTCATTCAAATGATTCTCACCTTCTTTCTATCTTTTATGGACTCCTTGACTTATGTAAAGATGAAAATTAATTCTTGTTTTTGTTTTAATACGTCTGGTAATATTTATGTCTCATTAACATATTAACGATTGTACTTATTTACGATTTTTAAGTTTAGAAAATTTAAATTAGTTACGCATGCAGAAAAAATAAATGTATGCGTAAAAAGATATCAATAATATAAAATTTCTTCTATTTTATTCTATACATTCGTGAAACTTCAAAATTAAGTTCTGTTAATTACCTTTTAACTGTCAGAATAACAATTTTTTATTCATAACTTCCTGGTATTTATTTTTTGCATGGAACCCTCAATATCATTTGCTGAAAATAGTTCTTTAGTACATACGTTGGTTTATATTGAATTTTGTATCGGCAAAGCAATAAAATTATATTTTGATTAGAATTATACGGTTATATACACGGTTTCAAACTTTATAAAAGCTTCGATTACTACTGTTGTTCCTTTTTTTTTTACATGGATCACAGATGATTTATTCATTACATTGTTGGAGTTAAAGTTACCTGTAATGTTTCCATGGGCACAGTAGAATCAATCTTTTATGTATACTTGGTTACAAACGCATTGTACAACATTTATTTATTACTGATCATCCTTTTATAATAAAGATAAATGAAATGTGTAGTTCCAATCAAAATTTAATATGTCACACTTGAAAAGTAATTTTCAGAATAATTGTGACTTTCATTTCCGCCTGTATAATAATAAGCCCATTGTTTAGATAATAAAAATCGTATTAGGGTGATTTGCGTAACTGACGTGGTATTTCGAATACAGAAGTCATCACAACTTACATGTATTCATAATCCTCTTGAATTATGTATTAGAGAATTTAAAAGAAAACGTAAACTTTCGCCGAAACATCCCTAGAACTCAAAATAGCTCTCTAGAATCTCTCGCCGGAAATTACGTAACGTACCGTTGAAATTTAATTATGTATAAGAGAATTAAAATTAATATTATACAAAACTTTAGTAGAAACAGAATTTGTCGACTCAAATATTGTGTAGTTAGCTAACGGGCTTAATGTTTGTAATGTCCCAAATATTTTAACCAAAGGACAATGAAAAAAAAATGTTTAATTCGTTAATGGTTGCATTCATCTTTTCAAAATACCTTTACATTGGTAATCGAGAACGTTTCAAGTACCGTTAGACATAATAATTTTAAAAGGTGATGTGGGTGACCTGGAAACCCGAAAAGTAAACCACGTCGTTTGGTTGAATACAATTTCTTTCAATAATAAACTTATTATAGAGGATCGATGTTATTGTAATTATTCGTTTTTATAGAATATTCATAACGGAATGTTCGTGTCTCTTCATATCGGACAGCGTTTGACGGAACTGTGAATATAATAGGAATTCATAACAAGTTAAACAAAGGAAATGTAATTCTTTGACGACTGTTAATATTTAAAAAACTGATTACTTTGTTTTGTATTAATTTCCACGCATTCAATATCTTTTTATACTGTAACACGGTTAGTCCAGTCAAATTAGACAGAAATATATACACCCTGCGGAATAATTCCCACCAAGCTGCATTTAGGTATAGACTTTTATTTCGTTGTTTTAAACAATACATATGTCAAAAGTCCCCATCGATGCGACCCCTGATAAAAATTGTACAGACTATCAGAGGAAAATAAAATAGTGTTTTGCAAATATATCGTTATCTGCCAGTTCTAGGGCAGAAATAGTGATTATCAAATATGCAGATCTGGAAATTCTCTAGAAAAAAGGTTCTTCAAGTTTTTTTCGTAGGAGTAACCATTTTCAGGTATGACGGCTTACAAAGTTGCAACCTTCATATTTCTGAGAAATAATGTACTCCTTTCTGCATCACCTGGGAGGTAGAGTACTGACTGCGTAATATGTATCATTTGAATTTGTAAATAATCGTGTACATAAATTTATAGTATATTATACATATACATCACTAAACGATAAAATAAACTAAAAATACCTACAAACTTTATCAATGTTTGTGTATAACCAAATTTGTTGGATTCAATGTTGCAAATAAGACATATGTCGTTGATGGAGAATTTCTTTTGCACTGAGGTGTCTAGCATCGAGAGGCTACATTTAATTTAATATTTGAGACATACATTACATATATAGAGAAACAGTTTGCTCCTAGTATAATTATTGTTTTTGATGGTTACGATGATCACAAATTTCCTGCATCTACGGAAGTTCTATTTGATGCATCAATGAGTCCTCCAATGAGTCAAGAAAAATTTCTTTCCAACAGAAACAATAAAAGTAGATTTATTTCTACGCTGTCTCAAAAATTGAAAGTTACTAACTTCAACATGAAACAAGCCCAAGACGATGCTGGCGTACTCATAATTGAAACAGCAGTCGAGCAGTCTGATACAAATAATAGTACTGTTGTTGAAGACAAAGATCTGTTAGTACTGTTAATTGCGCGTACTCCTTCTGATGAAGAAATTTATTTTCTTACACCAGGTAAAGCCAAAGTTGAAACAAGAATATACTCTTCGCAAATTTTTGGTTCATATACAAATAGTAAAGATCATATTTTATTTCTACACGCTTGAAGGCTTTGAAGGTCTTAGAGAAATGAGATGATGTAAGAAATTCTGCGGATGTTTTTAAAAGAATAGAATGTTCGCCAAAACTAATTTTTAATAATGGAGTTTGCTTTCTTCTGGTAATGTATGACGCTCCACTAAATGAACTATCAATAGACACATTTAGATATTATTTTGTCAAATCAACGCGGCTTCGTTTTTCTAAAGAATTTCCTAAGCTGCATATTTGATAATCACTATTTTTGCCTTAGACAGATAACGATATATTTTCGAAACACTATTTTATTACCTTTGATAGTTTGTAAAATTTTTAGCGATGGGGATTTTTGATATATTGTTTAAAACAACGAAACAAAGGTCCATACCGAAATGCAGTTTGATGGGAATTATTCCGCAGAACAATCTTAATTTGACTGGACTAGATACCAAATATTAAAGTGAGAAAGAACATTAAGTGTAAACACGAACAATAAAAATATATTCTAATAATTATCAAGCAATGTTTATTTTTTTTTGTTATGTTTGTAGCATACCTAATATTTATATTAACATAATATATTACTTATAATAATTTACGAAGAAAATATAAGTTCTTCATACCGATAAATAGATATATTATTATTCATTGTTTCAGTTAAATATTCAGTGTATTAATTTTGATTTTTTTATTCCACAATTCAGTGCAAGTTTGAATAAAGATCATATCTTGATATTTTATTGGTTAGATTGATTATATAAATGTCTAATGACTCTACATAATTAAAGTCTGATTTAATACATTCATTTTATTATTTTTCGGGCGTTTATGCAAATTCACATTTATTATTATATTAATTTACATTTATTATTATATTCAGAATTACATAAAAATTACTTTGTTTCTGTTAATAGTTCAATTAAATAAAAATTTAAATACTGTACAAGTCTTAAGATAATTGTATTTTACATATTTATATACACTATAAATACATAAAATGCGCAGTCTATTTATTATAATAAAATATTGATCAGGTCAATATTCCCTATTACCAGTATCCATAAGTTTGTGTTATTTTCAACAGAACGAAATGTAATTTGTTAGACAGAAGGAGTATAAAACGTACAGAGAAATGGGTCTAGTACAATACGAAAGTTGTTTATTGTTATCATATAATGGTTTGGCCTAGATGTTTGGACTGCGGCCCCGCGAGTTAACGGGGTCACTGTCGCGGTGACCCCTCGCACTGCCCAGGCCGAGGCGATAGTAGTACTACCGTAGTACTGGGTGTACAGTACGAGTACACCGTGTAGTGTAGTGTGTCTACCATCGCGCCGTCGCGGCCGGCCCAGAAGACAATGCCGTGTGGCGGCCCCTCGGCTCTGTAACCACAAAATAGTTGGCGCCGAATGTTAACGTATCTTAACGATTTATATCTCAAAAAATTGCTAACAATTTGCTCCTTCCGAATCTTGAATTGCTCCCACAGCACCGTTAATAGTTAATGAGATATTCGCAAAAGAAAAAGCAAAAAATTTGTTGTTAACAAAATAGGTAGTAAATGGCTTTTTTACACAAATATTATGGCATCAAAAATTGCTCCTGATCTGTTTTATAATAATCAATAGTCAGATATCTCAATTACAACTTATTAACGAGGAGCAAATGACATATTGTTGCTGCATAATAGAGAATAGGTATTACATACATACGCCATATAGTAGGCGCTCGTTTATTGTAACCTTCGGGGTTATAGAGGGCCAGAATT